TTTAAAAGTAATGAATGAAGCTGATCACTACTCTATATTATAATTTTGTATTTTATTACATATATAATAATATAATTTATGAAATAATAAATGGAATAAAATATAATATAATCAACTACTGTTAAAACAATTAAAGAACTTAAGAAATAATAAGAATTTAGAACTTCAATAGATGGAGATGAATTAGAATAAAATGAATCTACATAAAGTGGAAAACGAACTCCAGAAGCTGAAACTAGCAAAACCTAATATACTAAATTTAGACTGGCTCATAAAGGATCAATCAATCAAATATTACCTAAATTAAGTAACTCCAATTTATAAGAATTGACGAAATCTTTATAAAAATAATAGAGCGAAGAATTACCAAATAAATAATTTGGACAAAGAAAGAGATTTAATCGATATGCCACATAAAAAGTATAATAGTAACCTTTATAACTTACTGAATAAATAGATCAATAAACTGCTATGAATCTTATTTTAAATAAATCCAAAACATTAACAGACTATTATACAAATAATCAACTGACATCAACATAAATTCATTTGTTTCTTACTGATAACAAATATTTTGTTTTTACATTTATGGCATTTCTAAATAGATTAGCTGAGAAAGGAATTTTATCAGTCACTTTAACAAATATCTAAAAAACTGTTCTATCATAAATTGAATAATTTACAATCAATCAAATCAATAGAGAATTAACTAAATTAGAATTAAATAAGAAATTAAAGGAATAAATGAATAAAATTTAAATTAAACAGAATTAATATTCTAAATTTCTCTTGGAATTAGAAGCATCATTAAAATTTTTTTGAGTTTTATTTTTGTATAATCTTTATTAATTATTATTAAATTCTTTAATATTTATATCGTAGTAATTTAATTTATTAAACAATATCATTTATTTAAAATTTGAAAATTTCCATACATCAATCTAATTATTGAAAATTTGTCTTATATATAAATTTTTTTTCAATTTTATTTGACCTTAAATTAATTGCTACTATTCTTTTATTAGAAATAATGTAATATCACTTTCCTGTTAAATAATAAGAAAGTAGCATAGTAATATAAATTGTCAAACCAATGAAATTCTTAGTTTATTTTAATGAGAATAGAAGAAATTTCTTTTTGGTTCAAATATTCTTAAATAATTTAGATAATAGAAAAAATGTTAATAGGAAGCATGAATAAATTTTATTGAATGAATATAAAACATATTAATTTCTTGACTGCTAAATACTGGTGTGATTTAAGCAAATTAATATAAATAATTTTAATTAATGCAGCCTTCTTAAGAAAAAGAAATCATTGAATTTATGTTTATAACGGGATGTTAAGATGAAAATAAAGCCTTATAATATTTTTAGATGAGTAACAATAATTTAGAAGTTTATTATATGAATCTATATATAGAGTGCTATCCAACTATTTTATGATTTAGAAGGTCATCCAAGTTTGAATTCATAATCAAGTTTTTAATCTCAAGCATCATCATAATAATAACATTAAAATCAACAGAAACATTTAGGTTAACAAGATGTGAAAGATGGTATAAATATTCTTAGAATTAGTGAATACAATGATTTTCAATTAAAATAATCCACCTCCAGATTTAATAAGGTAGAGATCAGCTCCAGATACAAATTTGATGGAGAGATATAAATTATATCAAGAGTAAAAAAGAGCTAATGATGATGGCATTTTAAAAAAGACTTTTAAATATGGCTGGAATGTTATCACCTATTTATGTATTTAGAATTTTCTATTATTCAAGTTAAAAAAGGGCCAAATCATGGTTTAGATTTTTAGAGTTATCTTTAAAAACAATAGATTTAAACAACTATTAATTTTTAAATGGGCAACTTTACTGATAATATAAGAAAAGCACATGAAGAGGCAAAACCTTTATTGATATATTTACATAATCAATAATCTTTATATACATTTTAAAAAATGATAAGCAGTAAAACTTTAGCATAAATAATTAATAAAAATTATTAAATTGTTGGATTTTTGGAAAGTCCATAAGTGTATGAATAATTGCCAGTAAAACCTTAACCTCCAACTATTTTAATCTACAGATTAGATTTAACTTAGTAAGCTGTATTAATGGATACAATTAATTTGACACCTGAAAGCAACTTCGAAGAATTAGCTGCAAAATTAAAATAAATTAAAGGTTAATTTAATAAATAATTTATTCTGGAGGATTCAATAAAAAAAGAAGTTGATGGTCCTTCATAATATTTACCAAATTATAATGGTTATTAATATTAAAGATAATAATAATATAATTAAACAAGGTAGCAAGATATAGAAAGAGAATAATTAATTTAATAACAATAAGAAGCATATAGAATTGCTGAGTAATTAGCTTCAGAAAAAAAAAGAAAAGAATTAGAAATAATATAAAATGAATAAAATAAATTAGTTTAATAACAATAATTAAGTGTATTAAATAAATTAATTATAGGAATAAAGACTTTTACAAAAAGCTACAATGTTATCAAACTTACCAAATGAACCAGAAGGTGAAGATGGAATTGAAATTTTATTTAGATTTATAAATGCAACCAGAACTAGAAGATTTAATTTAGATGATAAAATTTAGGTATATTTATTTAAATATTTTAGTCAATCTTTGATTTTGCTTTGAGTTAAGAAGATGATTGTTTCAATGATCCTAATTCAAATATAGATTTAATTCAAAATTTCCCAAGATTATCATTAAAAGACAAAAAAGATGAAAATATTAGTGATGTGTTTACAGATTCGACTAAAATCTAATTAATTGTAGAAGAATTTGATTGAATATTAAGTATAATTTTATTGATCTACTCAATAATTTATTCGATATCAAAGAATATTTCTTTAAAAAAGCTTAAAAAATATAATAAAAGTAAGCTTAAAAAAATAAAATTAATTATATTTTATCATTTTTATTACTAAAAGCTAGGTGAATTTAATCCTGATACTTCATGTAATAAGGATTGTGATTATATCATTAAACTACTGTATTTTTATTTTACTGCTGAATTCAATTCTCCTTCTATCACATCCATTTCTAATTCATTTTTTATTGATTATAATTATTTTAGTTATAATTCTGTCTATTCAATTGCTTAATTTATTTCTTTTAATTTAATTCTTTTAAATTAAACTAATCTATCTAAACTATCTTCTTCAAAATGGATAAATATTACATCTAAATTAATCAATCCTCTCTTTCTTGCTTTAATAACATTTGAAAAGTTTTCTCTTTCTAAAGAACTTCCAAAATAAGCATAATTTAATTATTTACCAACATGCAATCCCAAACAAGTTTAACATTATGTTTCTTCCATATAGAATTGATCTGACATATAAGGAATTATTGAAATAAAATATTGTGAATACTTATGTTAAACAATGTTATTTTAACCTAAACTAATATAATAAGTAAAATTTCCATGTAAAGGTGTTTATAAATAATCACCTATTATTCTACCTTTATATGTAAGGAAAGGTGAAGGAGGAATGACTCTATCATTTCTTATTAATTTAAATGTTGATTGTTATACTACTTTTAAACTCTAAAATAAATAATAAATTATAACATTCTCTTGTTCTATCATTTTTGCTCTAAAATCAGAATCATTAGGATTTATAAAATGAGACATTAATTTTATTTCAAGATCTTTAGCAATAGCAAAACGAAACACTTCTGCAATATAGTTTCTTTATTCTTAATATCTTGCTCTATATATAATGCATTTATTATTGTTTGTTACTATGATTTCATCCAATTAAAATCCATAAGTCACTTTCTTAATAATCACCTATTTTTTACTTCTAATTAAACAAAATGAATGATCTTAGTTTATTCACCATCATATATTTCACAATAAACGTGATCGATAAAATCAAAAAATAGTACTAATTATTTCTTTTTTACAAAAACATCGAATGCTACCCAAGGATATAATCTTTTGGCTAAATTAAGTTTGAGAATATACACATATATTAAATACTTTACTCAAAAGTAATAGGTTAATAAAGTAAAGATCGTAAACCTAAAACATAAAAATACTAATCTTTAAATTAAGGCCCAAATAATTTGCAAGACATAATTTTTTACCTAGTATCTTTTTGTGAATATATGATGATATTGTTTAAATTAAAACTTTTAGGATAGTTGTTGATACAAAACAATTTTGGATTATATGAAAATTCTGGATCACATATTCTTTTTTCAAGAATATTATTATCTTCCTTTACTTTCTAAATCATTTAACTCAACTGTAAATCTTGCTAAAAAGATAATTTAAAATAGGAGAACAATCCATAAAAATTGAAATTCCCACTATTTTATATAAATGTATAATCCATTTAATAAAATAATGTAGCTTATAATTCTTTTGGATTAATCAATATTTATTAAAAATCATTATTTTTCAGTTGTGCGATCTGATGCTACTTGATAATCTTGATATTCTCCATCATTTATTATGACTTTGATTCCACTTACTTTTCCATTTTAACAATTATCTCTAATAATTTCCAAGTCTTTAATCTATCCTTTTATTTTAATAATTATAATAAGAGAATTAAAACATTATTATTTACAGTTATTGAGATTATTAATATACTTTTTTAATATTTTACATACTCCTTTTTTTGCTTAAGTTCCTTCTTCAGGATCTATTTATTTTATAAAACTTGTGATTTCTTAATCTAAATCTTTACATTATTCCTTAAGTAATTGAACTTATGCTAATCCAATTTTACTTTTTGTTAAAGTTAATTCTAATTTATGTAATTAATTCATCAATTATTTTCCTGAAATTTAAGTTTGAACTTCTAGAAATCGATTTTATTTTGAAGTTAATAGATTCACAATAGATTTTAATATTTAATTTCATTGGAGATAACTTTTAAATGTATTAACCAATAATATAATTTGTTTTCAATCAAAGATATTTAATCTTACTTTGTGCAGTCAACACTTTTGACATCAAATTTTGCTAGTTCTTCTCATGATATCATTTAATCTGTAAATGCATAAGCATTCCAACAAAAAAATAAACTTAATAACAATTTCATTAAAATAATTATAGTTTATAACAAAAGACTCACATACAGAAAAAATCAGTTCTATTTTCATTTATTTATTCAGTTATTTAAATACTCAAGTAACTAATCTTCATCAAATGTAGTTTATGACCATTTATTTACTTTGTCAATTTGAACTTCTACTTCTGTATAGCATTTTTATGTTAATATTTATATTGGTTTAACATTTATTTTTCTAAAATTAGTGTATTTTTTTTTATCTTGAATGTCCAATTTTTTACTGCTCAATAAAACTATTTGTTAATATGGAGGATATTTTTCTAAAGGAGAATATGATTATCCTATTGCTCCCAAACCATCAAACTTATTTAAAATAGATGGTTAGGAAAGTCTTTGAGATTAACAATTTTCTTATTTTTATTGTGTGTTCATATTAGTTTTCTGAACTGATGTTACAAATATTGGAGGTAAGGATTTTATTATCATTGGCTTCTTTAATACTTAAGATAATGAAATTTGCTTGTATTTTCTTTTCAATAACATGTTGGGCTTGTTTCTTTCAGATAAAATCATATATAAAAATAAAAATATTACATTAGTAATTATACTGATTTATTCAAACTCATTAAATTACAGAAATTCCGATGCTAATAATCGAAATTTCACCTTTTATTATTAAGCTTTGTATAAACCACTTGAATTATTAACACAACTTTATAAATGTTTCCGATTTAAATTTATTCTTTTTTCATTATCAATGTAATAAGAAATATATATATTATTTATAGTTAACAATAAATTCATAAAATAACTTAGATTATTGATCTCAGAGCATATTTGATTTAAAATCTCATATTATAATTTGTTTTGGTTTCTATAAATATTTAATATTTCAATTTCTTTTTAAAACAAAAGAATATTAATTAAAATCAAATATTATATACACTGGTTAATTTATTGTAATAATTAAAAAATCCTTTATTTATTCTGCAAATATATTATTTTTTGCTGATTCATTCTAAAAATTAGGAACAGTAAAAATAATTAAAAATTATGATCGAAAAGAAAAACTAAAAAACTCTAGAAAAATAGACTTAAAACTATTAGAATGCCTATTTGATGAATTAAATTAAGGAAGTTCAAATTGTTAATCAATCTCAATAACATAAATTTTAAGATCTAAACCAAGAATCAAATGGAATATCCAATCAATTATATTGTGATCAAAAATCATAAAAAGCATCTATAGATTAAGATATATAATAAATTAGAGAATATTTAATATACATAATTGAGAGAAGAGTTGTATTTCCTTAAATTCTATCTTATGTGATTATATCAAAAGATAAAATTTGTATAAATTATTGCGATGCATTATAAAAGCAATTAAATAGAATTTATAATAAGTTGGAAAAAGATAAGAGTTCTAGTGAAGAAATCATTACTAATTCTGATATTAATAAATTAGATAACGATGAAAAAATTATATTAAAATTGCTTTAATATTTTACTAATAAATTAGCTGATGATGGTATGAAAAGATTTAATTTACATCATTTAGATTTATAAAATATTAGAATCCAATATAATCTTTGTAGATAGATAAAAAACTTAGTAATTTAAAATTCAAAAGTATTAAAACTTATTATATAATAAATTAAAATAGTTCATTCAGATTTATTAGCTATGGAAGCAAATTAATAATAAATTAGTTCAGATGAATCTTAACCTGAATAAAATCGATAAAAATAATAGACTGAAGAATAAATTGAATAATTAACCAAATTTGATTAAAATAAAGACAAAATTTAATTAAAAAATAAATAACTTTAATTAGATTAAAGCTTTTATGAAGAAAATGATTAATCAGAAAAGGAGAATAAAATAAGAAAAGAATTTGCAATAAAGGTTTTAATGTTGAAATTGGTAGACTTATAGATTGTTGTTCCACATTTGCTAAAATTAATTAAATTTATATATTTTAGTAAGCGACATAAAATACCAGACAAAAGAGGAATTTTAATAATATATCCATCTGAATAAATAATACTTTAGTTGTGTAAGATTCCAGAACTAGTTAAATTTGCTCAATAATTTAAGTTAGAATAAATATTATGTTCTTTTATGAATCCTAATTCATTAGACAAATTTCAACTGGAATATCCTAACTATTTAAAAGTAGATTTACATGCTGTTTTAATCTCTTATTTATAATTAATAATAAATAATTACTTTAAATATAAGGAAGAATTAATTTAGATTTATTACAGAGATGAATAATTTAAAATGCTTTTGAAATAAATTTGGTAATTATGTGGTGAAAATATCAAATAAATATTATGTAGTAAATTAGATCCCAGTGAATAATTTAGAAACTTTGGATGTAATATATTATAAGTTGGTACTTATTTATTTAAAATAAAATCTCTAATAGAATAAAATATTGATTAAAAAGAGTAATTAAAAATTGATGAAGATCCTTGTCAATTTTAATTAATTAAAAAACCTAAAAAAACTTCTGAGAAAGTTTCCACAAATACTAAACCAATTTTTAAATAATTCATTTAAAAAATGACTATGCTCAACAAATCTTTTCCATTATTACTAAAGCTTTTGCATTTAACTAATTTTACTATTAAAGTTATACCTAGAAAAAGAGTTATGGAAGCTATTGTTTAATAGAAATAATTTATTAAATTTATGAAGATTTGTTATAATTATCCTTTAGAAATTGAATCAATAGCTGATAGAGTTTAAACAATATTTTTTAGTGAAAAGTTTTAAATTTAAGAAGTACATCATGTTACTTGGCCATAATTAATTTTGATGGCTCTTGAATTAATTTATTAATAAAGAGAGTAAAATAAACAATTAATTAATGAAGCAGTTTAATCAAAATAATATTAATTAATTTTAAGAGAATTAGAAACTATTGAAGATCCTCTAGAACTTCGCTAAAAAACAAAAGAATTATTATTTTTGCTTAATGATTATGTAAAGGAATTAAAAAATGAATCATGATTATGTATTTTATGATTATATAATTTATTTATTTAGATAAAAAAACTAATAATTTCCATCTTTTTATATAAAAGGGATACAATAAAATGATACTTTTATTTGTTAATTATTTATGAATTAATTAAATTAGTAAATATATATGTCAAAAGAATAAAAATTCAATAATAAACATCTTAAAAGAATTCAATTATAATCCTTATAAGAATATCAATAACAATCAATTGTTTAAAATAACTTTATGAATAATAAATTCAAAATAGAAAATGAACATTAAGAAAGTGATTAAGAAATTATAGATTTTCCAAAATAAAATTTAGTAAATCAATTTAAATAATAATAAATAACCAATATTAAATCCTAATTAAAATAGATAATAATATCCAAAATACCTTTTCCTTAGTTTTTAGCGTTCATTAAAATAACAGAGAGAAAAGCTTAAATCAATTATAAAACAAAATTAGTTACTTCATTAAATCATATTTTATCTAAATATAGTTCCAAAATTCAAGAAAATGATATGCTGAATATAAGTTTTAGCTCTATAGATGATGAAGATCTTATTCTCAACATATTAATTTTATTAGAAGAATTTATTAACAAAAATAGATCAATAAAAATAAGTGATTTTACTCAATTTGAAATTAAAGGGATGATAAAGGTATTTCAAAAAGCAAAAGAATTTAATGTGTTTAATGCATTTTAAAAAAAGTCTTTAACATTTGTTTTGATAGTTTAAAACATTAAATTAATATCCTTTTATTTAAATGATTAATTTGATTGTTTAGATTTACAAACATCCTAAAATTCTTAAGATTCATTTTGTATTGAATTACAAGAAGATTAAATCCAGGAAAATAAATTAATTGATTTTGAAAAATCAAGAGAATCACAATAGAATATTTTAGTAGATTAAAATAAATTAAAACAATTATCCAATTAAAATATATAATCAACATAAGAATTTAATAGATTTGAAAAAATGGAAGATTTTACTATTAAAATTTTAATTTTGAGATTGAATGAATTATGTATTCCATTTCCAGAATTATTGAAAAAAATCAAGTTAACTTATAAGAGCAAAGATTTTGCAATTTTAGATTAAAAAGGAATGTTAACAATTTATCCAGATTTTGAAGTAATCAAATAAATTTGTGCTCTTCCTTAAATGCAAAAATTTTCATAAGAATTATAATTACCAATGCTTTGTTAATTTGTTCCTAAAAAGATTAAACAAGTTATAATTTAGAAATATCAACATTATTAATATAAATCTATATTAAATGCAATGGAAGATATGATAATTGTAATAAAAAATAAATAATATGATTGTTTTGAAGAATTGTTAAAAATTTATAGAGATCAAAAATTTAATTAATTTTTATAATCGATTTGGAATATTTGTGGAGATTAAATTTAAAGTATTTTATAAAATAAAGTAGATGGATAAAAATTATTTAATGAATTTGGAAGTAATATTTTAAAAGTTGGAACTATTCTTTTTGAAATTAAGTAGAATATAGGTAATAAAGGAGATTTGAATTGCAATTAAATAGGGGCTAAAAATATAAGATAAATTTGTATAAAATAAAATAATTAATCTCCATTGTTAAAAATATTTTTTGGCAGATTAAATAAAGTTTAAAAAGCATTTCCTTTAATGCTTAAATTACTTCATTATTCTAATTTTAATGTTATCTTAGTCAATCGAAAATTTTGCTTAGAAGAAATTGCTCAAACAAAATTGTTTATTGAATTTATGAAAAATAAATTTAATTATGATATTGAATAGTAAAAGCCTTCTGAAAGAGTTGAACTAGTTTTTTTTACTAATAAATTTATTATTGAACCAGAATCATCAGAGACTTGGCCTAAAATCATTTTATAATAACTTCATTTAATTTATTAAAAAAGATTAAAATATGAGTAAGTTATAAGGGATGCAGTTGAGACTAAAGCTTATAAATAAAATATTAAAGAGTTAAGTGCAATATAGGAATAATAAGATGTAAGGGCAAAAATTAAAGAACTATTAATTTTGATTTATGATTTTATTATTAAAAACTAAAATTGATTTGTTTATGAATATACCTTATTCATTAAGAATTATAATTTTTATAAATTAATGATAACTAAAATCAATAAATAAAATTTCTTGCAATAAAATAAAAAAGAGAAGTAATTTAGAGAATTAGAGAGGAAAAAAAGTGAGATGGCATCTAAAATTTTTCTATTTTACAAAAATACTAAAATTTGTAATGAATTAAATCAATCCATGATTAAATTATATCTTCCAAAAATCTAAACTGCTTTATCAGTTCAATTTATGAAGGAATAAGTAAATATATTTTATATATAAGCAAACATTTTATAAAGTCTGCAATATAACACTAAATAAATGTCCAGAATTTTTAAAACCTTTTTTTCTTTTAAATAAAAAGAATGTTTTAAACAATGAAACATATGTTTTAAACATGATATAACTTTTTAGTGGATGCTTACAAATTTAATAAAATAACTTTATTATTAATTTATTTAAAGGAAACCAATTTATAATAAATAGATTGCATGTAATAATAAAATATTAATTTTAAGTTTTTCAAAGCCATTCATCTTGGATTACATTTGATTAAAATATCTAAATAAGCTAATACTTTTTTGATACATTTAAATGACATTTTTATTTCAATACATTAATTATTAAGTAATAATTAGTTAGGTAAATACTTATATTATTTTAGATTTGTTTTATAGTTAATTTAAAAGATTAGATACTTAGATTTTAAATAATAGTTTGCCTTAATTGATACAAATGAAAGGATTTGAAATATTCTTATTTTACTATTTAAATTTAAAATAAAATGAATAAACAGCATGGGATTTAGGATATAATTATGTAATGATGATAGAATAAAACAATAATGAATTTGATTATAGTGAATTGATGAATCACATTTTAAATTCTTCATAGTATAAATATTTAATTTCAATTGTTTTAACATCAGAATAGGAATTATTATAAATAAGAAAGTTGTTTTAAAAATTACAGACTTTGAAAATTCATAATAGTGAATTATTATTTATTATTATGACATAGTTATTGCAAGTATTAGAATATACTTTTTATCGTATGAATATTCCCCAAGATTATAAAAATTTGTAGTTTCAAAATAATTCAGAATAAAAACAATTAAAAATATTAAGGAAAAAAAAAGAATTTGTGTAATTCACAGAGTCAATTAATTTTGAAAATCTTATAAGTTTATTGAAAAATTAATAAGTAACAAACTTAGGTTCAATAAGTAAATATATTTATTATTTGATAAATATTGGACATAAGAAAAAGTTAGAAATTATTTAATAAATTCAAGAATTAAGATTTATAGATAATGAATTTACAAAATATTTGCTTAATTTATCAAAAATAAAAGAATTGGATATGATTCCAGCAGAAGCTATATCTGTTTATTGTTATTTTAAAGCTCATGAATTTTAATTATTAGATGATAAAGAATTTAAGAGTATAATATTTGAAAATGAAAAAGTAAAAGAAACATTTATTGGGATTTTTGAATTTATTTTTGAATACACAAAGTTTAGCATTTCTAATAATATAAATTAAAATATTTTTAAAGAACTTAAATTATTTGTAAGAGAAGTATTTGATAGAAATTAAGTTTTGCATTTTTATGATTGGAAATATGAAAATATGGTAATTAATAGTCGTTTACCAATATTGTCATTATTTTCATTAAGAATTGAAAAATTTAATTAATATTTGGAAGAGGACAAAAAGTTATTTTAAAGAGATTTATTAGAATTGTTTACATTAGATTAATTTGGAGATGCAGTTGTAAATCAAAATATGATTGTGATCATAAGAAGAGGATAAGAATTTTAAGATGCATATCAGTAATTGGAGAAGAAATAAATAAAGAATATTTTTAAAGTATAGTTTGTAAATTAAATGGGAATACCAGAAGATGGGGTTGATGCAGGAGGAGTAACAAAAGAATTTATAACAAGAGTAGTTAATTAAGCATTAGATCCTAATTTTGGTTTATTTATTGAAACTGCAGAGAAAACAATGATTCCTAATCCTGCATTTATTTAAAATGAAAAATAGTAAGAATTAATCTATTATATAGAAAATATGATTTTATTGGAAAAATAATAGGTAAAGCTATATATGAAGGAGTACTAATAGAGAAAGTTTTAAATTAAGTGTTTTTAAATTAAGTTTTAGGAATAACAAATACAATAAATGATTTTAGATTTTATGATTCAGATTAATATCATAGATTATGTAATTTGAAGAATCAAGATGTAAGTGATTTTGGATTAACATTTTCAATAACCTAAGAATTTTATGGATAGATTGTTGAGTTTGATTTAATTCCAAATGGAAGATAAATTAATGTAACAAATGAAAATAAATTATAATACATAAATTTATATTGTCATTTTAAATTGAATAAATAGGTATGATATATTATAGAATTAATAGATAAAAGAATAAAGTTAAATATTTAGAGCTGGACTTGAAAAAGTAATCGATCCTGAGAAATTTAAATTATTTACTAATCAGGAATTATAATTGTTAATATCAGGATAACCAGTTATTGATATTTAAGATTTGATTTCGAATACATAATATTAAGGATATAAACCCTATGATAAAACTATACAAGATTTTTGGAGTGTTTTGAATGACTTTGAATATGAATAGTAGAGTTAGTTTTTATTCTTCTTCTCTTCATGTTCAAGGGCACCAACTTAAGTATTGTTAATTTTTATATATAATAGGGATTTAAGAGTTTAGATCCTCCTTTTATGATTTAAAAAGTTCCAATTTTACATCCTAATGAAAAATAGAAATTACCTACTTCATCTACTTGTTTCAATATTCTAAAATTACCTGATTATTAAGATAAACAAATACTAAAGGAGAAATTACTTAAAGCCATTAGTTCAAATACAGGATTTGAATTAACATGAATTATAATTTATTATTATTCTTACATAAATAAATAATATAATTTTTATGTAATAATAACTTCTAAATCCAATACAAAATATCAACGAAAAATACATGATTACGTAAATATTCATATTACTCAATCAGTGATAATGGGAATGAACCTTTACCAAATAGTGGTAGAAAATCCTCTTAATATGAAGAAAAAGCAACAGAATAACGAAAAAGAGATGATCAAAAATTAGAATTGTCTCATTATAGAGATTTATGCGAATAATTAAATAAAGAGAATTTACTACTCAAATCATTCTAAATAGAAAATAATGAGTTGAAACAAAAATAATTACTTATGAATGTCGAGTTATCTGCTGCTTAATAAGAACTCTTAAGAATTAGACACTAGTTTGGATCACAATAATCAACTGATAAATAAATATTAAAAATTCAATAAGGTATTTTATTACAGTCATTTTATAGATAATCTAAATTTGTAATAATAAATTAATGACTTAAACAAATAAAAACAGAATTTAGAAGCAGAAATTAAATTATTTAAAGAAAATCGTTTAACATAATCTATTGAAATATCAGATATGAATGTTTCATTATATTAAAGAAAAATAAAAGAAATGGAAGAAGATATTTAAATATTGATAGATGATTATAATAGCAGTTAAGAAAAATTGGAAAAAGCTTTATATGATTAAAAATAATAATTTAAAATTGATATTGATTAATTAAGAAGTTAAAATTAATTATTGACTGCTGAAATCTCAGGATGGCAATAAAGGTATAACAATTTAGAAATAATGAAGAATGAATTAGCCAATAAATTAATTATTCTAGAAAAAGAAAATTAATAATTAATCTACAAAAGTAGATTTGAAGAATCATAGGCTAATTTAGATATTATTTCTTCATTAAAAGATTAAATTCAATAATAAACTAAATAAATTAACAATTTCAAATCTGAATTTTAAATGAAATAATAAAATGAATCTTAATTAATATATGAATAACAAAATTTAAGATAAAAGATAGAGTAGTTAAAAAGTTAAAATTTAAATACAAAAAAAGTAGAAAATTAACAGTATAAAAATGAAATTTCTAAGTTGAAGTAATAAATCGAATAATTGTAATTGGAAGTCTAAGAAAATGAATACTAAAATAATAAAAAATCAAATTTAAAAGAAGAATAATTAAAATAATAGATAAGTTCTTATTTAGAAGAAATTGAAACATTAAAAAGTGAACTTTTATTATAGTAAGAGTAAAATGATCAAAACTTAAAAGATTAAGAAAATCGCTTTTAAACTGAACTTAAAAGTGTAAATGAAAAATATATAACATTATAAAATGAAATTAATAGTAAAACATAATCATATGAAGAGAGCAGAATTAAATTTTAAACTTAATTAGAAGTAAATAATTATGAAACATAAACAGAGAAATTAAAACGAGAAATTAGATAATTTGAATAATAAATAAAAGAGCAAGACATATAAACAAAACTTTGGTAAGAAAAATTTTATGAATAACAAACATAAAATGAAGATTTAAGATATAAATATCAAGAACTTCGAAATCAAATCAGTTAGTATTTAAATTATAAAACATAAAATGAATATGATTAAAAAACTATTCAAAATTTAGAAGCTTTGGTAGAAGAATAATAAAATATAATGCATACATTGTATTAAAAAGAATACCATTATAAAGAAACGATAAATAAATACGTTCAAAAAATAGAAGAATTATAATTTACAAATAATGAATAATAAGTGAATTAGACATAATAGTTGTAATTTTAAATTGATTAATTGTAAATTAAGATGAGAGAATAAGAGATTTAATTAAATAGTAAATCATAATTCCTTGATTTAGAAACATAGATTGAAATTGAAAAATTGAAGTTTTCAGAAAGAGAAATATAAATTTCAAAATAACAAAAATAAGATAAAAAAAAAATTCAATAATTAGAATAACAATTAGAAAATTTTTAGAAAGAATATACTTTATTAAATTAGAAGAAAAATGAAGTTGTCAAAGAATATATTTAAGTTGAAAATTAATAGGATAAAAATAGAATTTTATAATTAGAGCAATCTTTGTAAAATCTCTAGTAAGAGTATCTCATAGTGAATTAATAATACATTAGTCTACAACATTAATATAGTACTTAAATTATTTAATATCAATAAAACAAAGGTTTAGAAGAAGATAGAATAAAAATAAAAGAGCTTGAAGAATAATTAAAAACGCTAACAGATTAATATTCAGATTTGAATAATTTGAAATAATAAGTTTAGAAGGAAGTGATTAAAGAAATTATTGAAGTACCATCATCAAGTGATTAAATATTAATAAAATAGTTGAGATAGGAATTATCATAATTATAATCAGAATATATGATCTTAAATAATCAAAAACTAAACTATGTTGAAGTATAATCAGAAGTAGATAAAAATAGAATTAAAGAATTGGAAAAATAATTAATAATTTTAAGATAAGATTATGATGAAGTTTGTAAATAGAAATAAGCTATTGTAACAGAGTATGTAGAAATTTCTTCAAAATAAGATTTGTTAAGAATTCAATAATTGGAGAAAATGGTTTAACAATTATAAGAAGAAAATTTTTAATAATAAATTTCATATTAAGAAGAAATTTCTAAATAAATCATAATCAATAAAGATTTAGAATAAGAATAAGTTTAAGAATTATAATAATAAATAAATATATTAAAAGAAGAAAATTAAAAATTATAATTCTAATTAATATAATAAAATGATTCTTTGAAAAAATCATCTAGTTCTGATTTTTTAAAGATTTAATAGTTAGACTATAAGATTAAAATTTTAGAATAGACTAATTTAGATTTATAAAAATAACCACCTCAAATTTAAATTGTGAAAGAAACTATTTAAGTAAGTAAAGATGAAGATATATTCAAAATTAAATAATTAGAATTATAATTATAACAAAAAACAGATGATCTTTAATATTTTGAATCATAATTAAATTAATAAAAGAAAAATGTAGAAGAACTTCAATCTGTAAATGAAAAAGTAAAATAAGAAAATACAAAGATGAGATCTTAACTATTAGAATTATAATCAATTATTGATAGTTTATAATTTAAGGTTAAAGAGAACAATAAGTCTCAAGAAGAAATGAAACAATATAAATAAATGATTAATTAATATGAATAGAGAGATAAAATGAAATATGATTCATCAAAAATTGTAAATGAATTAAAAACAAAATTAAATGATTCAGAAAATGAAATAAAAAGATAATGGGGATAATTTGAGTTAAGTAAACAAGATTATGAATTTAAGCTTAAGAGTTAAGAAACAAAATTTACTTAATAAATATAGTAATTATAATAAGAATTATAATTCAAATTGAAATCAAGTGAATAAGAAATATTAATTTGCAAAAATAATTCTAAATAGTTTTAACTTTAAAATGAAGAGATGAAAAGAGAAATCAAAAGATTATCTGATCTAATAAAACAAAAAAACGATGAAATTTTAAAACTTAATGACTGTTTACAAACATAAACTGCAAAAATAGAATAATCTTAATCTAAATTTAAAGAAAACTAGACATAAATTTAAGATAATGCTGTGTTATAAGAAAAAATGTCTTAATTAATGTAACATTGCAATAAATTAGAAACAGTTTTGAAATAATTGGAAGAAGAAAAAAAAATTCAAAATAAAGAGCTTCATGAACAATTTAATAAAAAAATAATGGAAGTTTAACAAATTATATATAAAAAAGATAACGAAATTTAAAAGTTGTCTAATTATATCGCAAAATATTAGGAGTAAATGTAGAATCATGAAATAAATAAATTAAATTATGCATAATAAAATGAGTATAAATTTATCTAATTTAGTACTTCATAATTTTTGATTGAGTTATAAAATCAATTAAGTATAGTAAAGCAAGAATTGTTAAGGCAAACTAATTTAAAAGAAGAATTATAAAATAAAAACAATGAACTTTAAATTAAAGTACTTTTATAAATTTATTTTGTTAGATTACCGAATATGAGTAAGGAAATAGAATTTCAGTTAAACCTGATTATTAATTAACAGAAAGATTGTAAGGATCAAATAGTTCTAGAAATCTTGTTACTGTTGACTACAATTTAAATGATTCTCAATTTTAAAATACAAGTTAAATGAGGATAAGAGATTCAACAAGTTTATATAATCCTAAGCCAAACAATTTTAATCCTTTAAATTCTTCTGTAAAAATTGAAAAATAAAGTAGATAATAAAATAAAAAGTTTTTACTTAAAAAAAGAGTTAAATATATTGAAAGGCCATTTGTTTAATAATAATAAAAATCTATTTATAATATTAAAATTACAAAGCGTTAATTTCAGAAAACATCTTCATACAAAAGTAACATTTATATTTAATGTTCTTGTTCGTAATTTTCAATCTTATTTAAAGTTCTTTTTAATTTGTCTTCTTGTGTCTTAATTTTAGATCTAAAATATATTGTAAATAATTACAATTTATCATTTGCTTCTTCTAAACTTAATTTAACTAATAAATCTAATCTTTCTAAGTTAGATAATTAGCTTTTTAGTTTTTAAGCTAAAGTTTAATTTTTAACTTCCTTTTTTTCTAAATTGTTGAGAAATTATTAAACTTTTTCGAAATTTTTACAATCTACCTCAGATTCTTTTAAAATCATTTTTGGTACAATTAAACCAGGGGTTGAAAGTAAAATATTCCAATTGATACCTTCAAAAAAAGGATGATTTTTAATTTCATTAATATCTGAATGTCCAATTCTTTTAGTATAATCTGGTTCCATTAATTGACACATAAGATCATAAGCATTATGAGATATACTTTCTTCTTCAATATCACTTACATTTGGCCATTCAATTCTATAGTTTAAAATATTATCAAAAATCTTTTCGACAGAATCATCATTAAATGGTGGAATACCACAAAGCATTTCATACATTATTACTCCTAAACTCCAATAATCTAAACTGTTATTGGTAATGGATTCCCCTTTTAAAACTTCTGGAGCTATATAATCAGGAGTTCCAACAATTCTTTTGTTTTTACTATTTTAATTTGAAATGCTTGCTCTAATGACTGGTTATACTTGAGGTAATTTTAAATCAAAAACTGTATTGTATTATGGATTATTATGATCAGCAAATTCAGGTATAGTGTTTCTTTAAAATAATGGGATAATTTTTACGCTTCAATATCTTATTATCTCAATTTTAATTTTAATCTATTATTAAAACCAACCTCTGATAATCCAAAATCAGCCAACTTAGCATGACCTTATTTATCTAATAGGATATTATCTGGTTTTAAATCTCTATGAACGATATTTTTTGATCTTAAATATTCTAAAGCCAAAACAACTTCAGCAATATAATGTCTGACATATTCCTCATCTAAAGCCTTAATATAATAAAAGTATATACTGTATACATTTTGAGAATGTGAGAGAAATCTCCTCCTACCATATATTCTTAAACAAAACATAAATTCTATTCATGACTAAATGAATAGTATGCTTTAACAACAAAATCTCCAGATAATATTTCAAAAATATTTCTTTCAGCTTTTAAAGTATCAAGTTAAGTTTCTAATTGCTTTAAAATTTAAATTAACATTTACTTTTTATGAGCAATCAATAATTTTCATAGCATAAAGATCACCCGAAGTTTTCTTTTTCACTAAAAATACCCATCCAAAAGCTCCTTATCCAAGAGGTTTAATAAATTCAAAATCTTTAAGGCCAATTTCTTAAGATTAATTAGTTTTATCAGCATTTATACTTACTAATTCAGAATCTGAATTATAACCTCTGTCAACTGTTATGATTTCAAAATCAAAAGATTATTTAGATTTTTAAGGAGCAATTATCACGCTTTATTTCTTTTTACTACTTCTAGAATTTTAGGGATTAAATAAACTTTTTTTTGGTTTTATTAAAGACTGATCAAAATCTGTATCTGAATTATTTTCTTGTTGTTATAAATTCTTTTATTTTCCACTTGAAAATGAATGATTAAGACTTAAAGCTTAATTATCTATATTTAATGGAGAAGCTGAATTATTATATTCTTCTACGATAAACCCTGTTTCCGTTTTAGCACCTATTTCAATATATAATGGTTTTTATTAATCTTGTTAATTTATATTCATATTAATATTTCTGCTATCTTTTAACATCATATTCCTACCACTATTTTTCATACTATTTTATGATGACTATTTCATTTCTTGATTAGAATTATGAATCTGATCTATTTCTTTATCAGATTAACATTAATTAATATTTTCAAATGAATTTAAAATATTTTATTCTGTATCTTTATATATTTCTTCAATTGAATCTACTTGTCTACCAAGTTCTATAGAGGGATTTTGTTATTTTTTAATTTGAATTTCTAAATCTGAATCACATTATGCAAAATCTGCAATAGAACAAATCTTTTAATTTCTAGGAGATTCATCTTAAAAATCAGATATTCCCATTCTACCAGTTGGAGATTAATTTAAAGATTCAATGACTGTATCAATAACTGTAGGAGATTAAGCCCTTCGAAATATAGAGGGCTTATTAGATTTAGAACTGATTAATGTATCTGAAGAATTAGATAAGTTAAATATCTTATCCAATATTTTAGATTCTGGGTTTGATTATTATTATGGATATTCTTCAGAATTATTTTTAGATAAAAAGGGCCTTTTTATTTAATTATTACCAAATACCTATTATCTTGATATAGTCATAGTTGTTAAACTATCTCTTCTATTAATTTCATTAAAACTTCCAACATTACTTGAATTAAATTTATCTTTACTAATTAATCATTATTATTATTTACTTAATCAAAGACATAATTAAGGTGTTCTTTTTATTATTATTGTTGTGTGTATACTTTGGAGTTTAACAAACAAAATCATCATCTTCTTCATATATTGTATCATTGTTTTAAATTATTGATTAACTTGTTGTTGTAACATTATTAAATTTTGAAACCCTAAAAGAACTTGAATTTGAATTCTTATATTTTTATTTTAAATCTATATCACTTTTATGTTAAATCTTTTTTGTTTCTTAAATCTATTATGATTCCAAATTTTAAATAATTTTAAAATATTCCATTCTATCATACATATAAGATCGAGCTTTATCTATTATTTAAATCACTTCATCATTGTTTTGATCAATTTCTAAATTACATTTAGCTTCTGTTAATTCATCAAATGTAATTCGATTTACTAAATTAAATATCAAGAATACATTTATTATCTTCATTATTTGTATTACTATTTAAAACCTTTTCAGTATAATTAACAATAGTAGTCATTACAGAATTTATGAAAGCTAATTATTTTTTAGCTTTATTCTTTTCTTCTTCATCTTAGAATGATTTGTTATCTTATATAAAAATAGTATGAGTTCTACGAAGAGTTCTTGAAGGTTTTTTTTCTTCTTCTTATTTTTTCAACTTCAATCTATTTTATTTTTGTTCTTATAAACTCAATTTACCCAATTTAATTTAAACATGGTGTTTCAATTTATAGGCTAATTAAGAAGCATCAACTAATTATAAATTTAGTTATAATAATTTTTTGCTTTATTCTGCCTTTTTCTCACATGTTATACAATGAGCTGCCATAATTTCTACTTCGATTAATTATTCACATATTCGACATACTATTTTATTATGCTTTTCTAAATCTAATTCTTTTAATTTACTTTGNATATAGAGGGCTTATTAGATTTAGAACTGATTAATGTATCTGAAGAATTAGATAAGTTAAATATCTTATCCAATATTTTAGATTCTGGGTTTGATTATTATTATGGATATTCTTCAGAATTATTTTTAGATAAAAAGGGCCTTTTTATTTAATTATTACCAAATACCTATTATCTTGATATAGTCATAGTTGTTAAACTATCTCTTCTATTAATTTCATTAAAACTTCCAACATTACTTGAATTAAATTTATCTTTACTAATTAATCATTATTATTATTTACTTAATCAAAGACATAATTAAGGTGTTCTTTTTATTATTATTGTTGTGTGTATACTTTGGAGTTTAACAAACAAAATCATCATCTTCTTCATATATTGTATCATTGTTTTAAATTATTGATTAACTTGTTGTTGTAACATTATTAAATTTTGAAACCCTAAAAGAACTTGAATTTGAATTCTTATATTTTTATTTTAAATCTATATCACTTTTATGTTAAATCTTTTTTGTTTCTTAAATCTATTATGATTCCAAATTTTAAATAATTTTAAAATATTCCATTCTATCATACATATAAGATCGAGCTTTATCTATTATTTAAATCACTTCATCATTGTTTTGATCAATTTCTAAATTACATTTAGCTTCTGTTAATTCATCAAATGTAATTCGATTTACTAAATTAAATATCAAGAATACATTTATTATCTTCATTATTTGTATTACTATTTAAAACCTTTTCAGTATAATTAACAATAGTAGTCATTACAGAATTTATGAAAGCTAATTATTTTTTAGCTTTATTCTTTTCTTCTTCATCTTAGAATGATTTGTTATCTTATATAAAAATAGTATGAGTTCTACGAAGAGTTCTTGAAGGTTTTTTTTCTTCTTCTTATTTTTTCAACTTCAATCTATTTTATTTTTGTTCTTATAAACTCAATTTACCCAATTTAATTTAAACATGGTGTTTCAATTTATAGGCTAATTAAGAAGCATCAACTAATTATAAATTTAGTTATAATAATTTTTTGCTTTATTCTGCCTTTTTCTCACATGTTATACAATGAGCTGCCATAATTTCTACTTCGATTAATTATTCACATATTCGACATACTATTTTATTATGCTTTTCTAAATCTAATTCTTTTAATTTACTTTGTATAAGTCTATTTTAATTAAATAATGATTATTTTATTATACGTTTTAGTTTCTACAAATACACGCTTACTACGTAATGCTGTACTTTGTTCTGGCTAATGTTCATCCAACCAAAATAAAACAAATTGGGCATACACATTTCTTATTACTGAAAGTATTCTTTTCTAGATTCTACATTCATTAATTTATATAGTCTACTTTTAAAGTTAATTTGCAATTTTTAAATTTCTAGAGCTACCCTTTTTAAAACCTTTTAAATAATCTTAACTTGTCTACTTTTTTAATGTCTCCATATTTGCTAATACATAACCTAATTAATCTTGATCAAATGAATTTATTGTCTATTTTAATGTTTTACGCAATTCATTCAAATAACTCAATGAAGGAGTACCAAACTACAATTCGTTAAATTAAATATACTTATCCTTAAATAAGTAATTCGATTATAAAATTTATCTAATCCATAATAAGTTCAGCATCTTTTTTACTCTACATCACATATTTTAAACGATGAACTTATTTTACAATATAATTCAATGGAGGTTTTGGAATTGTGAATTCTAATTTTGTTGCTCTTACCTATAAGGAGTGGAATTATATTTTATTCATTTATTAATATGTATTAATCAAACTAAAATCAATTAGGTAAACTCACTGTTCAAGTTATTCCTATTTCTTAATACTCTTTCAGCTTTCATTTCTTTCTTTCTTTTTATAATTCCAACTTATTATTCAACTTAAAATATATCATTTCAATAATTAATGATTATCATTAAGATACTTGCAATTTTATAACAATAGAAAAAAAATTATTAATTCAAATTAAAAAAAAAGCAAAAAATATATAATAGAAGATCAGTATCATTAAAAAATTATAGAACTATTAAAAATAATATTGAAACTTATCAATTGCAAAATTTATAAATTTATAAATAAATTCTGTAAATTCTCAATAAAATATTCCTTACGCAAAATATTAAAATTTGTCATACCTAAATAATATTTTATCTAAGTACCATTTAGCTCTCCAATTATCCAATGATTTATCAATTAATTCTTATACATGAACATATAATTCGGCTTAAGATTATACTTTTGGATTGAATCTTAATTATAGTTCTTTTAAAGTTTATTCACCTTTTGAAAAACAAGGTAAAGTTGTTCCATGTCCAGTATACATCATTTCAACAAGAAGCAAAATTTCTTTTTAATGTTTCTAACATGCTTTAAATCCTCTACAAATTTTAATTATTATATACTAAAAAAATAATTTCCTAAAATTTTCTCTAAAAAGATTTCCTTATACACCTCCTAAAACCTCAATATAATCAGATAATAATTTAAATGGTACTTTTTTTTCGAATTCTACTCCTTTTCCTGGTGCTATAGACAAAAAAAAACCAAAATCTATATGTATTAAGTGTCCTTCACTATCTAATAATATATTTCCATTATGTCTATCTTTAACTTATAAAAAATAACATACTAATCCATAAGCTACTAATGATTATACATAATTATCTAATGCTTAATCTATTTTATTTCTAAAAAAACTTCTAAAGAAATCTGAAAAATTTTTAAATTATGTATAATCTCTTCTTAAATGCTTTTATAAACTATCAATTGTAGTTGCATTTTTAATCATTTCAATAATACCACAATCAGGACCCATTGAAAGAACTTCATAATATCTTAATTTTAATGGCAAAGCTTCTTTTCTAAAGATTTAATCAAATTATGATATCAATTACAATGCAAATTATTCTTATTTCAAATTATCACCTGTTTTTATAATTAAATGAATTAGATTCCAAGTTTACAATTAAGAAAATATTGATTAAGATTTAATTCTTTCAAATTAATCAAGTGAATTTTCTCCAAATATTGCTTTTTTCATTTCTAAATGTTCTTCAGTTGTTAAAACTACTCCTCTATTAGGTTGAATAAAGCTATTTCTACCAATTATACTTGTTAACCAATTAGTTTCACGATTATTCTCACAATTAATTGATTATTCATCTATACTAAAAGCTTAAATATTTTCTTCTAAAGAATAAGCTGATGATATTTCAGGTTTTTATTTTTATTAATCAATTTATTCATCTTCATCTTATTCATTAGGATACTAATGATAAAATTAAGATGTTCCCTCTATTATTGGATGATGCGTTTATTAGCTCATCTAAAAAAATTTAATTTATTAAAATTCATTCTAAATTTGTTTTTAAGCATCTGTAGATGAAAATGTTCTTCTATTTTCTACAATTTAATGATCCTCATCAAATAATTAACTTTATGTTCTTTTTAATAATTTACTTTACTAAAATTATAAAAATACTGCTTACACAAATAGTAATTCGATGAGATATTTTTTTTTCAATAAATTTATGGTTATTTTAACCTTCAATTTCTGGTCTATATAATTCTAATGTTAAACTAAATGGACTTCTCATTTTTGTTGAAAATACTTTGCTTTCTTAAGGAACAATTTTTAGAATAGCATAATTTCTAACTTGATTTTTTACAAAAGGAACATAAACAGATGCAGGTAAACATTTATTTATTCTTTACAATAATTATTATAAGACTTCTGTTTTTTTATTTTGAATTTTTGATAATTCATCACAAATTCTCATAATATCATTCCAAAATAAAATATTTGAAATAAATGCAGTATCTTAGGTTTTTTCCTTATTTTCTGAATTAAATATTGAATCATAATCTTATAATATAATTTCTTAATGGTTTTTCACTCTATTATCGTAAGGATGAGAATTTTAAAATTTGATCCAATTTGAAGTTCCATAATTTTAAACAGATTCGTTTACTTTAATTGATTATTATTTAGTTGAACCTCTATAAACTTCTTGTAGCTATGATTTTTTTGGAGAATTAGAATCTGAATCTGAACTATCTTCTTTTAAATTACTTAGTTCTAAATTAATTTAAAGAATGTGAGTAGCAATTAGTAAATCACCTGCATAATTTTAAGCCATTTAAAATAAAAAATATTCAAGAAATTTCTTGACTACGTTAATAGTAACAATTTCATTAGCTGTTATTATTTATGATAAGCTTTTCATCTAAAAATATACTAAATGTGCAAAAAAAAAATCTAAAGATGATGCTTTTAAAACAAATTACTTTAAATTATCATCTGATAATTATTAATGGAATACCATAAAGTTAACCATTTAAGGAATGAAATATTCAAGATCCTCTCTTAAACTATTTTATTAAAAATTTGGATTGATGCGACAACGTGATAACATTGATATTGCCTTTTGTTTATCCTCTGAAATATACAATCTAATAATAACTTCTAAAATATCAGAATCAGAAATCTAATTATTTCTTTAAAATTTACATCCAAAAAATTATTTTTATATTTGCGAAGTATTTCATTTGTTTTTTTAAAGGTTTTTGGGTATATTCCTTTATTTTTCTTATGAAAACAGAAACAATTTGTTTTTTCTTCTTATTGCATAAGATATAATTTGAATAAATTAACTTATATAATATTCTAAATTACCAGATTTTAAGTATTATTTTATAAAATAGTCAATTAGGTTAGGCGAGTTGAATATCAATTAATTCTAATATTGAAAATGAAAATTATTTAATTCTTTATCTTTTAATATTGAAATAAATTCTATAATGAAGTTTTCCCATTATATATATAGAACTAAAAAAATTAGTCAAAAAAAAACCATAAAGATAATATTGAAAAGGTTGTGCTAAACATTTTAAACATAATAATATGAAATCAACGTTTTCTAAATTTCTTAATAATTTCTTCAGCATCCTCATCATCACTTAATAAACTATCAATTTCTGAAATTTTATCAGAATCCAATTTAGAATCTGAAATATCATCATCATCATCGTCATCATCATCATCATCATCATCATTCTGATTTCCTTCATCTGAATTTTGTTTCTTTAATTTACTTTTTGTGTTTTTTTCGTTATTATTTGTTTATTATGGATTTTTTTCATCTAATGAATCAGCACTAAATTAAGATCTATTATCATTATTTTCTTAGTCTTTTAGAATTTCTAATTTTTAATTTTATAAAAAAATATTTACCTTCTACATTTCTTCCAGATCCTTCATCACCACTTGAATTATTATCAAATCTATTTTCTGGTTAATCTTTTGTGAGTTTCTTTTATTTCAATTCAGCCAACCATTTGTGAAATACATCTATAGCCTCATCTAATCCTTTAATTTTAGTTGTAAAAGACACTTAACATTTATCACAATTTAACTCTGCAATCTTAATTACTTTTTTACTATTTCTTTTTTTTATTTTTACATTTTAACAATAACACAATTCTTATAACCACAAAGTGCACAATCAAATATTGTTTTTATTGTTTGCACTTTTTCTTTTTTTGGCATCCTATTCGATTTTCTTCTTCCTCCCATTTATTTTGAATTTTAATAAAATAATACTTTAAATATTAGCTAAAGTAATTTTTTTTATACATAAATAGTATATCACTTTTAATCAATTAATGATTATAGCAATTCTTACGTTTAATTTTAATCATAACTTTCATATTACTAAATTTTATTTTCTAATTCCATTATTTTTTCTTCATATCTATTCCTTTATTAATCAGCTTATGATTCATATAATTATAATTTATTAGAAAGCTAATTAATGAACATTTTTTAATGTTCTAATTCTTCTTAATATTCATTATATTATTTTTATTATAATTATGCTAACTCTTCTAATTGTATTTTAAGCATTTCTACTTCTTAAGATTTTTCATCTAATTATGATTATAACACTTCTAAATTTTCATTACTATTTGAAAAACCATGATGAGATTATTTAGGTTGTTCTGAATCATATTTTATCTATTAAAATAAAGCCTAATTTAAATTAGAAATTTCTAAAGATTCTAATGCTTATTCTTAAGCCTACTCAGCAATTAACTTAAATTTTTAAACTTTTTCTACTAATTTCTTATTCTATTCAGTCAATGCTTATACTTAGGTTGCCAAATATTCTGGATCTTTATCTCTAAGTAAATTTTATAATTCTAATGCTTCAAGTTTAACAACTAATTATTTTTTGGATTCCTTCATTTATTCTAATTCTTTGAGCAATTTATTATATTCATTTTATGTTAAAAATTCAAGAATTTATTACAAATCAGATTAATACTAATTCAAATGTTATTACATCTAATTTAAATTATTGTTTCTTAAAGCTTCATTTATTCCAATCTATATAAATTTAATCTTATCTAAAGTACAGTTATACGATATCTGTTCAATATATTATTTCTGTTTGACATTCAATGAAGGTGATTATTTATTTAACTTATTTTATCTCATTAATTTGATTAATTATCAAATTTATTACTGATAATATATATAAAACAAAATTATATATAATCAATTCAACAACATTGAGTATTTCTTTTTTGAGAAGAGCTTGTTTCTTTTTTGTTAGTTAAAACAATAGAATTATCAGTTGTAATTTTATGACTCTGTTAGTCTTATTTGAGTTGTTTTAGCTACATATAGATTTCTACATTAGGATTATTAAACAAAAACCTTAAATTAATAGTTCAAATGCTTTTTCTACATTTTAAGAAGTTAATGCAGAAGTTTCAATATATCCAGCACCAATTTATTTTGCTACTTATTAAGCAGTATCACTCCCAACAACTCTTTGCTGACTTAAATCCAATTTATTTCCGATTAGAATTATTTTGACATTTAAATCAGCTTATTATTTTACTTCTTCATACCACTTAACTACATTATCGAGTGAGTCTTAATGAGTAAGATCAAAGCAAATAATCACTCCATGAGAGCCTTTATAATAAGTAGTGCTAATTGATCTATATCTCTCTTATCCTGCAGTATCCCATAACTATAGTTTGATATGTTCATTTTTCATAGAAACTACTTTAGTGAAAAACTAAACTCCAATTGTAGATTTTAAATCATCCTAAAATGTATGATTAACAAATCTTAACAATAGATTGGTCTTACCTACTCCCGAATCGCCTATGACAATTACTTTAAGCAAATAATTGAAGCTATCTATCATATTAAATTAAATTTATACAATAAATAAATAATTATTATAAATATAAAAATATTGGATGTAATTTTAATTAATCAAATTGTATTATAAATATATATTACTAATCCATTATGTACATATATTTATTGACAATTTAAACATTGAATATAATTTCTCCTTATTTTTTTATTTTTTTTAAGATTCAAAAAAAGAAATCAGATCATTTAAATAACAGATATTAAAAAGGATAAACTTAGAAGAATTTTAAAAAAGTTAATTATACTTTTTATATCAAAAATTCATTTTTTATTCCCCGCATTTTAATTGCAAAATATGTAATAATTATTAATTAAAGTATGTCTCTAAAGAATACTTTGTAAATTTATGAATTTTGCCGTACATTTGCTTATCAATTGAATTTACGAACTCGTTATACAGTAGAACAATTGCACTAAAGTTTTGTAAATTATTAATAAAATGAGATATATAGGAATCTAATGAGAATACATCTTTAGCTTATCAATTAGTAATAGGATTGATGGATAAATTTTGTCTAGCATATTTAGTATAGGCTTCAACATAAACTAATTCAGCTTTCTTAAATGTAATTGGATAAATCAAAAAGTATATAAATAGACTATTTTAGTTAATATATTCGCAGATCAATCTTGATGAATATTTGGCCTACAATATTTACATTAATTACAAGGATCTATAGAATTAGAGCTTATATTAAAGACGAAATAGAATTAGAATACTAATAAATTAAAGAACATTTATAGTAAGAACAATTTAAAAATTGGGTCTCTTTGGATAAATAAAAACTGATTCTATTTATGATAGATACTATATTTTATGAATCTGAATTTTTAATTTAAGAGATTGATCAAAGAATAAAGATCTAAGAAATATTATCAAATAATGATTGGAGAAAAGAATTAGCAAAGAAAGAAACAGAATTAAAAAAACTATAATAATCAGTTGGAAAAGTGGCTAAGAAAAAATAAAAAGAATAGGTTAAGACACTTTAAATAATAGCAGGATTAGAGGAAGAAATAAATTTGTATACAAAGGCATCAACAGTAACTAATAAATAATTATTCTATAATTAAGCTATTGAGAAGATTTCTAATAATCTCTATGTATTTAACTAAATAATTTATTAGGTTTTTTAAGAAGAAAAAATGTGTATTTATTAAGAGAATAATGAAGAAGATTGGGGAGTAATAAAGGGTGCAGAGATGATAGAATTGATAGGTTAATAATAAAATAAATGTGTATAAATGAAGAATTTAGTAAATGAAGGATATTTTAGTTTAGAAGAATGTAAATTAGATCCGATTGCACTTGATAATAGTTATGGAATTGAATAAATAAGTTAAGATTCTATGGTAATTGAATTATTCTAAAAATGTGATATAAATACAGTAAGATAAATTCTTTTGGCTTTGGAGAAGGATTATTCTGAATATGAATTGAATTATTGGAAAAGTTGTTGGACATCTGCTGAAAAAAGGAAAATTTGGTAAGAAAAGGTTTAAAATGCAGAAATGGTTGAATTAACTGAAATTTTAAGTAAAATTCCACATTAATTGTCTTGGGTTAATAAAAAACATGGATAAACTGATAGTTAAGCTAAATATAAATCTAGTAGATGTAATAATTTAAATATTGTTAGTGTATTGGTTCTATTAGAATAAATTATATTCTATGCCATATCAATAATTGAGTAAATAAGAACCATCTTTACACTCTATGTACTTATTGGCTATTACACTGTATGATAAATTGAAGAGTTATATTCACAGAAAAATGAGAACAATGGATATCACTTAAATTTAATAATAATAATAGCAATCAGATTTAGAATCAACTTATGAGGATGACTTTTAAGAACTAAAATGAAATTATTGTTGTATTTAATAAATATTATTCTTTGTTCTAAATAAATATTCTTTTTCTTGTTTATAATGCTTTTAGAATAGAATATCAATTCAATAGAACATATTTGATAATTGGCAGATAATAATTCGATAAAATATTTATTTAAATAAATTTAATAATATGTATAACAATTAGACAGTTCAGTTAGTAGGTCGATTGAGTCCTAAAACAAAGATAAATTTGGAATAATAAAACTAACATAAGCTTTCAAATAAAATGCTAGTTAAACACATTAATCCTGATATAGAACTTTTACCAATGCTTGATGACATTATACCATGTAGTATTATTATGAGTATCAGTTAGTGAAATTTTGAATTAGAGAAAAATGCTCTAATCTGTATAACCTATACAATATTATGAAGTACAAAGGCCTTCAAGAACTATATTTACAACATAACCTAGATCTCATACAAATAAGTCATCAAGATCTATAAAGTCTAATTCAACTCATCGTGATCAAAAATCTAGAATTTCTAATCAAAAATATGAATTGATGAGTTGTTGTTCATGTTCTTGTTGTGGATGTAGTAGAAAAAGTTCAACAAGATTTAAGAAAACTCCTACTCCCACTCCTAAAGTTAAAAGATTTTATTAAAAAAATCCATCAAATAATAGATCTAATAAATCAATAAGTATTATACTTATACTATAGTTTAGAATAATCTTCTATTGCTAGTTCAGAATCTAAAAAAATAATTGCAAAATAATAAATTTTGAATTCTTCCTTATAAACTAAATAGAAATGTTAATATCATCATTATGAACATAGATAATCACATTAAACTACTCATTAATCAAATAAAAAATTAAGACCTTCAAGTTCTGCCATTATAAATCCTGAAACAGCTAGAAAATAAAAACTCAAAGAATATTAAGCAAAATAAAAATAATTACAAAATTAATATAGTGCCAAATAACTTAAACCATAACCAAGAGAATATAGCTTATAAAAAGTTGCTTGGAGAGCAGATATATCTAAAGTATATATACATATTTAATCATTAAGATTGAAGAAGGTAAATCAAGAAAAAGTAGAATTGAAAAAATTGTTTAAATCTAAAAAGATATTTTAAATAAATCTTTATCAAGACATAGAAGTATTTCCAAATAAGAATCTAAAAAAATTTTACCTCCTCCAGATCTTCAAAAAATAAAACTTTTAGATCAAAGAAAAAAATTAATGGAAAAAAAAGATTCAAAAATTATTCATGATTAAAAAGAAACATAAAGATTAAAATAAGTTCTTAATTAATTAAAAAAATAAAAATAAGATGAAAAAGACTTAAAAACTAAAAAAAATGCATAATTGTCTTAATTAGAAAAATATTAAAAAGAAAATAGATTATAGTGCAAAAAGAAAAAATTTGAGCCTACAGAATAATAAATTGAATAAGCTTTTTAAATTATATCAAATGATAAGATAGATAATCAATAATAACTATCATGAATAAGTCTTGTATAAAAAGTAATAAAATTATAATAATATAATTATCCATAATAATGATCTCTATTTTACTGTATGTAATTACTCACTTTATTTCAATTACATAAACCTAATGTTAATAGCAATAAGATTTGTATAATTGGTAAATGAGATTATTTGGATAACTTTCCTCTATCTATGTATCTGAAGAGATTATATTTTATCATAACACTTTTAACCAAAATGGAAAAATCTTAAAAGCAACAGGTAATTAATGAATTAAAAATAAAATTGATAGGTTAAGTATAATCAAGGAATACATATACTATGTGTGATTTCTTTAATTATGTCAAATATGATTCAATATAAAAAGTTATTCAATTATTTAATAATGGCTTTTCGATATTAGCGTAAACAGAATTGAATGATAAGATTGACTATTGCCTTATAGGATTAAATGGAGAATTTATTATTATAACTGGCAAAATTATTTTTTCAACTATCAATGAAAGATTTTAAAAAATGTAAAATAAAATTTCCAGATTAATATAGACTAGAAAGCTAAATTATTTATGCAGGATATATTTATGAAATACCAACAATTATTGTCTAGAAAACAAACCGAATCTGTGTATATTCTATTTTGAATGAAATTTAAGAGGATTATTGTCTTAAAAGTTTGAAGGGTGGTAAAGTTATTGAATTTGGAAAAACACTTATATATTATGATAATTAATTTGCTTATAATTTAAAAGACAAAAATGCAAGAGAAATAAATATTGAATTAATTAGAAAAACTTCTCAATTTTTGGGTTTCTCTTAAACTTTAGTTATAAGAACTTCAAAAAAGAACAAATAAATTGTAGATTTGAAAGGATAGGTAGAATATGAATTTCACTCTAGCTCATATGTTGTAGAAAATTTAGAGACTTAAAAGTACTACTTTTTCGTAAAACAAGAATAAAACTAGCTTATAATAGAAAGCTTAGATAGAGAAACATAATAATTAACTATTTAAATAATTTAAATATCTAACAATTCAATTATTATTAGTGTATTTTTAATTGATTTATCTAAACGATAGTTTTTGATTTAATATTAAGATTTATAAACTATTTTACTAGAAAATAAATCAATATTATGGTCAACTGAACAATCATTAATTAGTATAGAAAATGTATTCTATTAATAATATGTGAATGAAAAATAAACTATAAAAAATTCATACTATGAATCTTTAAAAAAAAATAATTAAAATCCTTTTTTTTTACTTCAAAATGCAATGCTTAGAATTTTGAATGAAATAAAAGATTTTAAATAAATTATGATTTAGATTATTGATGATATAAGAGATTATTTTAATTTAGAAGATAATTATATCAAAAAGATGGAAAGATATTAAATTGAAAAAAACATAATGTAATAAAGTTATGGTCTCAAACAAAAAGTTTGTTTTTTGACAACTTACAAAACATTATTATGTTATGACTCCATAGAACTTTAATTACTATAAAAAGCACAAATAAATAATTTGGATTAATCATTTAAATTAGTGGCAATCCATAAAATAGAGTATATAATTATATTTATGATCCTTTAGTCCGAAATTTGTTTAGAATTATAATAATTAGGAAGCCTCTTAAGTTCATATTCTATTATATTATTCAGATCAAAAAAAGAAACTTTTAATCTTCTTATTAGATTTATCTCATGGCATGATCTAATAAATGGCTTAGAAAATTTCTAAAAAGATTTTATGGACTTTTCCATATAAAATAGGATCTAGTTAATATAATAATCTAATAGTTTTAATTGATGAGGATGAAAATGTATTTACATATCCTAAAAACGATTAATTTAGAAATAAAGAAATAATACTTTATAGAAATGATAATGGGATTTTGAAAGGATATAAACTAATTGATAAAAATCTAGTGAATATATGGAGTATATATATAAAAGAGAAAATATAAATGATAAGATCATCTTATGAATTTGGTTAAGAGAATGGTAAAATTGCTATTTGGGATGACAGAAAAGTGATTTATAAATTGATTGACCATTCAAATTTTGCTATTCTTACTTCAGATGAAGATTCTCTTAAATTGTATATTTTAAATGCAAAAACAGGAAAAGTAATATTTTAAAGTGTTTAAAATGAAGCAGATCTTGAATAACCAATAAATTTAGTTTTTGATGAGCATTAAGTTTTTGTTACTTATTATAATTAAGCTTAAATGATGTTTGAGATATGGACTACAGAGATTTATCATTCTAGAATTGAATTTTCTTTTATAAATATGTTAGAGGATTATTATTTCTCTCTTAATCCCATAATTACAAATTATTATTAGGCAGAAAGCGAAATAGTTTTTTTATAGTAAATTTATGGATATCCTTTGGGAATAAAACATTTAGGAATTTCAAAAAGCAAAAAATCTTTAACTAAAAAAAATTTATTAATTATAACTACTTTTGGCCAATTACATTCATTAGATAGAAACATAGTTTCAGCAAGAAGAAGAATATCACCAATTATTGAATAATCATTATAGTCTACTGATTTATCTCCTTATTAGTATGAAATTCCTATAAATTTCTTTAATATACTTACTGGTTCTGAATAGGTAATTTTATATGTTTTTAAAAATTAGTATGATTTTTAAAGGTTTTCTCTAGAAGTTACAAAATTAGAGTCCTCTACCTTACTTTTATTATATGGACCTGATATATATTTCACAATAATATAAGTGGATAAAGTATTTCTAATTATATATGATAGTCATATGATATGTTACAGGAGGACTTTAACTATGATTTATTAATAATAACAGTTATGATTGCCATATTGGCAACTTAAGTGTTACATAAATTATTAAAATTTAGTTAATATAGAAGATAATTCTAAGGAATTTGAAAATTGTATATATTTCATAACTAAATAATGGTTTATTATTTAAGTTCATAGAATTATATGTTTATTTTTTATGTATCATATTTCAAAGTCAACACGGATTCTTTAGAATTAATAATTTTGCTTCTCAAGAATTAATTTTTCAAATTAGTTATGGAAGGCAATACATCGAATACTACTAGAATGGGTCCTTGTAATGTAACATAGTAAATTACATCTAAACCAGAGTCTCCTTCATCATAATCATTATTTGATGATGAAAATGATGTGTCTGATTAAAATATGATTAGGGACAAAATGCAAACAGTAATAGGTTAAAGCCGTAAAGTAAATTATAATTAAGAATAAGTCTGATTATTTAAAGCATGCTATATTCTTAACAAATAGATCATTAAGAATGACTGAAAAATAAACAACTTCACAATTTGTGATAAATTTTAGGAAACAATACTTTATACATAGATTTGTGAACAATCTATTTACAAATCTTTATTTCATCAAATAGGATTAAAAATTAAAAATAACATAAGCTTTAGATGAAAAACCTGCGTAATAATTTGCTAAAAATAGTTGTAAATAAAGCAATATTTTATAGCTGATGATAGTAAAAAAAATAAATGGATATTTCTACCATCAACTCATTTTATAATGTTTTGGGATATATTTGGACTTATCTTTCATTTAATTATGTTATGGGTTAGTCCTTTTTTGTGTTCTTTCCAAGATTTCAATAATAACATTTTGAGATTAATTTAGTCTATTATATTGTTTTATTTGATCTTGGATTTTTTAGTAATGTTTAACAGAGCTATAATAAAAGAAGCAGTTATAGTTTATTAAAGAAAAAAGTTCATTAAAAATTATTTAAAATCTGATGCAATATTTGATTTTTTTAATTTAGGTATTTGGTTATTACAATAATACGAATTTTATCATTTGTATTAGTATTACATGCAAGAGTTTTTAATTATAGTTTAAGTGTATTTGATATATAAAAAAATCTAAAGATATATAACAGAATATTTTCAATAAATTTATTGTCGAGGTAGCCAGAATTTTACAATAGATTTAATATCTTTGATAATTTAAATATACTATTTTGCTCACATTATAGCATGTATTTGGCATTATGTAGGATTCAAAAGTGAAAGTTTAGGCAATACATGGTTAATAGACAATCATTTAGAAGATAAATCAATTTGGAGTAAATATAATGCAGCTTTTTATTGGGCAACAATGACGATGACAACAGTAGGTTATGGTGATGTAGTTGCTATAAATGAGATTGAAAAGATTGTAGCATCAATGGTGATGTTTTTGTCTAGTTGTGCTTTTGCTTATACAATGAGCTCAATAGGAATTATATTAAAAAATATATATGATACTCAATTAACTTATAAGTATATTTATAATTAATAATAAAATAGAAAAAATCTTATTTAAATTACTTAATTTATGATGAAAAATAATGTAGATGAATAAATATAAGGCAGAATTAGAAATTATTTAAATTCTTAAATATATTAAGAGAAGAAGGAGAATATGGATGATGTAAACAATATCTTGAATTCACTTCCTTTTAATTTATAATAAGATTTAAATGCTGATATTTAGGCTAGAGTTATAAAGTAAATTAAATTAATTATTAATCATTTTTCTAAATCTACCTAGATATAAGTAGCTAAGAATCTTTAATTAATTTCACTTTTGGCTGGAGATGTTGTTTATAAATAAGGAGATCTTCAAGAAGATAATTTGTAATAGTTACTTATAATTTTAGATATTTTATTCACAAAGGTGAAGTCAGGCAAACAGAATTTTAAACTCAAACAACACTTAAATTATTATAAAAAAATTAATATCTTGGGATTTACTCTTTTTTCACTGGTTTTTCTCCAAAAGAGACAGCTATATGTAATAGTCCAACATAATTATATAAAATAAATAGAAAAAAATTTTTAGAGATTATCAAAAGTAATTAGAAGGATCATGAAATTTTCCATCATATCAAAGACAAAATTATATTTACTAATAATTTAATTTTATTTGATCATAAATGTAATTTTTGTAATCGCTCTTTTCATTTGGAAGTTGATTGCCCATTAATCCAATATAAACCAGATTTAGAGATGATTTTGAAAAAAGATAATTTTGTTGAGAAATATAATTGCAGAGTTTTTAAGGAAAGAAAAAATTATATTAAAAATAATACTTTAGGATATTTAAATAAATTAAATCATTCCTTAAATTAATTTTAAGAAGATTAGTAAATTCAATTATTTGCGTTGAATGAAAATAATTAAAATGATATGCCAAGATAAAGAACAAATGTATCAGAAGTAGTATATCAAAATTCAACATAAATGATTGGATAAAATTTATAAAATATTAGTGGAATTAGTGATGAAGATCAACATTCAGAAATGGGACATACACCTTAAAACTCAAAATAATAAATAATAAAATCTAATCATAGTATTTCTCTTGTTTATTATAGGATCTTCATTTTCAAAAATGAAAATTGGTAAAATTGACTAGAAAACATCTAAAAGTAATTTTGCACCAATTCCAGATAATTTAATTGGATCATTTAGCATACTAGATGAAGTTAAACATATGTTAAATTACTAAAATACTTTTAATTTAGATAAAGTAAATTTTTTGAGTCTATCTTACATGCCATAATACAGTTTAGAGTCATAATTGAAACAAATGGTAAAGACAATGAAAAGGAAAAACTAAAGACTTTAAAGAATATATGAAAGATTTGATAAATACACTTTCTTTCATAAAGTTAAAGAATTATCTTTGAAATTAAGAGTACATTACAAAAGAAGCAAGAAAATCACTTTGTAATGAATTAAAATTTTTATAATATAATAAATATAAAAATGTAGGGTTAACCTATCCCATTCATTGAGTTAAAGGAAACTTAAACAAAAGAAGGACTGGAAACAACATTTGAAATTCATCCTTAGGCAATAAAGATGTTGCAATAAATAGCTGACAGAAAAGTATTTGTTTTTAATGGGATATTTAGGTAGCTGTTCTTACAATTGCAGGTCCATAAAGAACTGGAAAGTCTTTTTTAGCAAATAGAGTATTAAAAAGATAAAAGGGGTTTGCAGTTGGGCCAACAACAATGCCATGTACAAAAGGTATTTGGTTATGGAGCTAACCTATTCCATTAAATGAAAATACTTCAATTTTATTAATGGATACAGAAGGATTAAATTCAGTTTAAAGAGATCTTGGTGTAGACACAAAAATATTCTCAATATCATTATTGCTATCTTCAATGTTTGTATTTAATCAATTAGGTCATATTGATGAATAATCAATAGAAAATCTCTCTCTTGTCATAAAATTAAGTGAGAACATCAGTGTAGGTTCAGAAGATAAAAGTTTAAGTTAATTTTTTCCAACATTCTTATGGGTTTTAAGAGATTTCTCTCTTGATTTAAAAGGTAGAACTCCAAGTGAATATTTGGAATTTGCACTTTAAGATTAATCTAATCCAGGATTAGATGGAGAGAGAAAGAATGTAATAAGAAGAAAAATTAGAGAATATTTTAAATTTAGAGATTGTTTATGTATGGTAAGACCAATCTAAGATGAAAGAAGACTAGCAAGAATTGAAGAAGAAGATTGGAATGCTTTAAGACCAGAATTTATATCTGCTGTATAAGATTTTGAGAGAAGAGTCTTTAAAAATATTCCACCTAAATAAATTAATGGTACTACATTAACTGCAGAGATGTTTTTAAAATTATCAATTGAATATGTTGATGCTATTAATTCTGGAGGAATTCCTTAAATTTTAACTAGTTTAGATAGAGTTATTTAATAAGAAGCTAGAAATCTATTAGAAGAACTAAAAAGTCTATATGCTAGAAGGTATTAAGAATCTTTATCTAAAATGAAATCTCCATTCGAAGATGAAGAACTTATTTAATTAAATAAATAAATTTAAACTGAAATATTCTCAAGATTAGATTAAAAATCTAAAGAAATTATTGACAATTCTAAAATTAATAATATGAAAAAAGAATTATATGAAATGATGTCTTAAGATTTATAAACTAGATTAGAAATTAATAAAGAATAATCAACTACTCTTGCTAATTAAATTTTATAAAAGTTCTTTAATACTTATCAGGTACCAGTCTTAGATAATGTTGATAGCATTAAAACTTCTTTATTAGTTGAATAATTTTAAGTATACAGTCGTTTTTTTAAATATTATATGGAAAATGTTAAAGGCCAATCCAAATATAAACATTTCTCAGAAAAAGTTCCTTCTTTTTTATTCAGCTATTTTGAAAAATTAATTTTAAATGTATAAAAAGTATACATTGAAGAAAATAATTAAACTAAAAAATATTTAGTTTAAGCTAGAGAAGGAGAAGAAAGATTGAGGAAAACTATAGGAAGTCAAGAAAGCTTATTATATGAAATATAAAAGGAAAGAGATTAATTAAGATATGAAATAGAAAACTAGACTAGAGAAACTAGTAAATAAGAAAAAATTAAAACTTTAGAATTAGAAGCTTGTTAAGCTAAAGTTATACAATTAACCTAAGAATTATAAAATAAAAAAGAAAAAAATTAAAAATTAAAATAAGATGTTCAGAATGAAAAAGAACAACTGCAAAGAGTAAGAAATGAACTTAATGGTAAAAGAGTTGAATGTTAATAATTATTAAAACGAATGGGTGATGATTATTAATCTTTTAGAGAACCAGGAGAAGATGTATATAACATATATATATATTATTAGATTTCAAATGATTTAGTTTTATAATATAAGGATATGAAATAATAAGCCCATTAAATGAACGAATTTTTTAAAAGAAGAGCAATGGATCATTCCTAACAAAGCATTTTTCTTTAGGAAATTTCTAAATTACAATAAGATAAATTTAATGAAATCATTAAACTTAGAGAAGATTATAAATAAAAAAAATTTAAAATTAAAGAAGAACTTGAATAAGAAAAGTAACTAATATTTTTATTTAGAAAATAATTGAAAAATAACCTTGAACATTTTATCAAACAAAATGAAGAGCTCAAAGCCAAAAATATGACCTATTATGAGAAATATGAATTAGCATAAAAAAATCAGTAACATTTTAAGGTATTGTTCTATTATTATTTTGGATAGTAAATATAATCAGAAAACCAGAGATTGTCTTAAAGATTGGAAGAAAAATCAGAAAATTTAGAGATGCATATCTAAGTTATTGAAAACTTTACTAAGGATATTGAAAAATTAACTGGTATACGAGAAGATCTTGAATAAAAACTTGCATTCATGAATTCTGAAAAAAGTTAATTAATATCATTTAAAGAAAGCTTTCCCTATATACTTAAGGGTAAAATTTGATCATTATATAACTAGAAGCCTTAAAATGGGTTTTAAAATAAAATTCTAAAATAAAGCACGCCATGAAATCGGTTGGTGAAGAGGAGTAAAAAGTTATTCGCGATTGTTTTCATGAAGTTGGTATAAATGTGTGAAAATTATTAATTATTATAAAATAACAAATAGTACCAAACTATTAATTTTTTACTATTATTAAAATTCAAAATAAAAAAATAATCTCTAATTTATATATATTTAAATTTGGATTATTTAAAACCTTAATTAAAGTAAAAGAAACTTTAATTTTATTCCTCTTTGTAATCGTAATCATTTTAATGGTTTTTACAATTAGAAATAGGTTTTTTATGAAAATAAAAAGTGATTGAAATATATTTAGAATATATTATTTATAAAATAAATAAAATGTCAATAATTCTTTCTAATTAAAAACAATAAAGAAAGCTTCCTTTACTTAAAGATTATACAAGATAAAAGAAAGAGATGTTAAAAACATTTTTTACAACTAAAACTAGTAGATCTGAATCTAGATCTAAGCAAATTAATGATGCTTATAAAGAGGAGAAATCCTATTATTTTGATGAGAGCATAAAAAAAAAAAAGAATGCAATTTATCTATCATAAAAGCTTATTAGACAAACTCCAAGAATTTTTCCAGGAAAGACAGAGACTTTAATGAACCAGAGTGAAGAGATAAGTGAAGATAGTTCTGAGAAATCAAAAAGTAGTGTAGATGTTTTTGATCTTGAGAAACACAAGGAGCGTGTTAAAAATAAATTAAGTATATGAGAGTGATAATTCAGAGATACAAATAAAGATGAATCATATTTTGGGTTTTTAAAGAACTCAGATAAATTGAAAGACATAGCTTAAAATTTCATTAAGGAAGATGGAATGAATCCGATTTATTATTTTTGTGTTCATGACAGTTTATTTCCCAAAAGAATTGATTTAACTAATTGTCTAGTAGATAAAAAGGAAATGAATTTTACCAATTTAGGTATAGGATCAAAATATTATCCTATATTAACTACTTTATTGAAATAGCAAAAAAGTTAAAGAATAAAACAATTATATTTAAGTGATAATAATTTGAAAGATTAAGAATTAAGTATGATTATAGATTGTATACCTCTTTCGTTAAAGGACTTAAAGCTTTCAAATAATAAAATAGGGAAAGGAGGTGCTTTGCTTTTGGAAAAATTGATAGTAACCCATAAAAGGTATAGATTTTTATTGTTTTATAGCATCAAATATTTAAATGTTGCCAATAATACATTAGGAGATATAGGAGCTTAAATTTTATTAAATGCTTTAATGAAGAATAATACAGTTACAAGATTAAATCTATCAGAGAATGGATTGACAGATTTAATCTCATAAGTTTTGTATAATTTCTTAAGTAATAATAAAACAGTTGAAGTTTTAATGTTAAATTGGAATTATTTAGGATCATTATCAGGATAACTTATTGCTAAAGGATTAACTAACAATAAATCATTAAAAGTAATAGATCTTAGTTATAATCATCTTGGATAGAATAATTGTATGATTTATTGGAGTGAAATGATTTCAAATCCTAAAGTTTCACTTATTCATATTGATCTTTCTTATAATTAATTTAGTGAATAGTAATTAAGAATTTTGAATGAAGCATTAAAAAAGAATAATCAAATTTATGGATTACATATTGAAGGAAACAAATGTCCAGCATATGTAGATGCTAATGGATTTATTTAATTTGCTAATGATGGATTACAAGTTTAAAGTACTCCTTTTAGATTTTAATAAAAGAAATATGAAATAGATGGAGTTAATTTTATACCAGAATTAAATAATGGATTAATTGGTAGTGATTGTTGTTGGATTTGTTAAGGTTGGATGGAATTTAAATTTAATTACACACCAGATGAATTTAATGGCGATATTCCAATTTTCCTTCATCTTGATTTTTTAGAGTAGATATTTATCATTATAAAAAATAGTTATAAACCAATACCAATGACATCAAGTTTAGAATTAAAAGAATAGATGAAATAATAAAGAAAAAGTAAATCTGTTGAACCCTAATTAACAACAGGAGAAATAATCTATTAATTAAAACAAGTTATCAATGATGATAAAAAAATTACTATGGCTGCAATTTAAGAAGCTTATGATATTGAAACTAAAGATGAAATTGTAGATGAAAGATGTTTGGATGATCTAGATAAATTTTATTATACTACTTATTAAATGTGTCCACCTAAAAGGAGAATTCTGTATTTCTTTAGTAATCCAATATAAGAAGATTACTTTATTGATAAAAATTCTTTAAGTATGCAATCTCCACCTGATGATTTAATATTATAAGGTAAAGATTCTAAATTTCAATATCATTAATTTGCTGATGGTACTAAAATTAAATTTAAAAAAATTAGTTAAATTAATTATTTATTATCTAAATAAGAATATGTTATTGATGATAAAAATGATTATAAACCCTTAGTTAAAATATTTCCTCGTTCTGCTTAAAAAAAATATATTTTAAGGAAATTTGCAAATAATTCCATCAAGAAAAAAGTTAATATTATCTTTTGGAATAAAGATGATTCATGTTTTAAATAATTTTAAGGTGACAATGATGATCTTTTAGACAATTGTTTAGATTTTGATTGGTCATGTAGTAAGATTACAAGATTTGTTAGAAATGAATATGAAAGAACTAAAATGAAAGAATATTTTAGATAACAGTATTAATTATTAAAAGATGTATATAAATATCTTTCCAGTTTTGGACATTAACCACCTTAATTAGATATGTTTTGCATATAGTTTGGATAATTTTAAAAATTAGTTCAATAATTAGGATTGGTTGATGGAGTTGATTTAAAAATTTAAGATGTAGAGAGTGATTTGATATCAATAAAGAATAATGTAGATAATAAATTTATTTATAATCCAGATTAAGCTTTAATTAGATATTAATTTATTGAGAGCCTTTATAGATTAGCTTTGGATAAATATGTAAGAACAAATACAGTAAAGAATGCAGCAGATGCAGTATATCGATTATTAAAGGAATTTAAGCCATATTTTAATAATTTTGATTCAACTTAAGAGTGGAGATAAAAAAGATTATGGAATAAAGAATGTGATACATTAATATAATTTAAGATGGGATTTTTAAAAAGATTATATGATCATATAACTGACATTAGTAATAGAAGATGGTATTTTAAATTGAAATGGATTTCAATAAAAGAATATAAGGAATTTTGTAAATAAGTTGGATTGAATGAATATTTAAGTGAGAAATAATAAGTGATAATATATAATTTTTCAATGATGTCATAAGTGGATGAATTAAATTAAGATAGAAATGTTCGAATGACTTTGATTGAATTTATAGAATCATTAGGGAGAATGGCTGAGAGAATAAGTCCTGCACCAATAGGAGAAAAAGTATCAGATTGGGGATATTAATAAAGAACTACTTTGCCTTTGCATATTAAATTAGAAGCATTGTTAACTTATATATATATATAAGTAAATAAAAAGTAAATAAAATAAATATAAAAAGAGGAGCATTTGAATTATTTAATGATATATTTGGAGAAGAATAATAATAGAAAATATAATTTATGCCATCTCCAAATTGTGTAATAAGTGAGGAAGAATATAATAATACAATAGATAATTTAACAACGTACAATACATTATCTTATTTGAGTAATAATATAGTTAAGTATTTAGATCTTCATAAATAACCATATTTAAATCCAGATTATGTGCATTTTTTGCAAAATCAGGTACCAAATTAACCTAAATTTCATGGCCCACTTTTGGTTAGAAGATTTTCAAGGAATGATAAGAAAAATAAATGAATATTAATTTTAATTATTGATGTAAAGTGAATAATTGAGTGAATAAAAATTATATGCTTGGGGTAGTGCTGAATGTGATTAATTTTTGGCTAAAGATGAGGATGATGAAGAAATGTATGAAGTAAAAAGGCCATATCAAATAAAAGAATTAAATGATCTATCAATTACTTAAGTAGCATGTGGGGGAATGCATGCCTTAATTTTAACATCATAAGGAAAAGTAATAATTTATTTAATTTTAAATAGGTGTATTCTTTTGGATGTGATGATAAAGGAGTACTTGGAAGACCAGTAATTGAAGGATAAGATACTAGAGTACCTGCACTCATTACAGATCTTCCACCTGTTAATATGATTGCTTGCGGTAGTTCTCATTCCATTGCTGCCAATTCTAATGGTGTTGTCTATTTCTGGGGTTTTTATGCTAATACTCATGGTCCTATTGGAGAACCAGTATAGAGACCAAAAAAAATGGACAATATTACAGATGGAATCTAAAAAATACTATGTGGTTAAAATCATACTATGGTTTTATTAACCAACTAAAAAGTATATTAATTATATACATTTAGTTATTAACTTGGGGAGATGCAGAAACCTTAGTTATTGGTAGAAAAAGTGAAACTAGAAGATCTATTATATAAAATTTAAATCCATAACCAATCAAAATGAAAAAACCTATTTTGAATATTTTTACAGGAGCTTCACATGCATTTGTCAAAGTATAAATGAAAGATAAAAAAATTGGAATTTATGGATGGGGTTTAAATAATTATGGATAACTTGGAATAGGAAATTAAGAAAATTAATAATTACCTGTATTAATTGAGTTTTTTGATAATATTGATGTTATTGATATGGTTGGTGGAGAACATCATACTATTGCACTTGATTCTCAAGGAAATATCTATTCATTTGGAAGACATGATGATGGATAGCTTGGTTTAGGAGAAGATATAAATTAATAATTAAAAGAATAAGCTTAAAAATAATTAGAAGAAGAAATCTAATCATAAAAACTAAATGAAAGTAATAAAAAAAAAGTTAGCAAAAAAAATAAATAATAAGGAGAATTATATGAAATTTAAAAGTCTGATAAAGTCATTGGATATGAATTTATTACTTTTCCATAACTCATAACAGATATTCCAAAAATGTAATCAATTTATTCTTCTATGCATTTTAATTTTGCTATTTCTCAACAAGGTTAAATATTCTCTTGGGGAAATGGCTAAAGTTTTGTATTAGGTACAAGAAATGAAAATTCCTAATTCAAACCTAAAGATGTATTTTTATTTATAATCATTTTAGATTACTTACATTTTTAAAAATGAAAAATTATTATAAATATCTCTTGGTGCCAGTCATGTTATTGCTTATACTTCCACTGATCTCAATTATAGCACATAAAAAATCGATGAATCAATCATTAAAATTTAAGATTAAAAAACTAAAATTAAAAAAAATAGAAAAAGTAATAGTAGAGACAGAAGCAATGAAAAAAGTTAATCTATGAAAAGAAGTGTATAGAAATTTGATGACAGTTTAATTCCAGTTAAAGATTTGAAAATTGATTGATAAATAGATCTTATGTTTAATTATTCATTTTTACAATCCTTCTTATCTTCTGACTAAATTAGTATTTTCATACTTTTATTCTAAATGATATTGCTTTTCTTTATCTTTTTTAGTAAATTTCAATTCCATTTTATAGTTCTTTATATTTATGTTTTAGTTTAATTAAACATCTTATATCTCTAAATACTTTTATGAACTTCATATTCAAAATATTTCATAATATTATTTTGTGTCTTTACAGTCTCTATTATTTTCAAGAGACTTTATAAAATTAATATTCTATCTTTCATAATTTAATATTTTAATTTGAACATTTAATATCCTTCTTTAATTTGATAAATAATTGTGAATTTATTAAGGGTGAATTATTTTTATTATGATTAGGTTATTTGAGCTATTTAAAAAATTTTTCTTTTGCTAAAGCTAATACTTAATAGATTTCTAAATATTTTTGTAATTTATCCTTTATTTCTAATGCTAAAAATATTTTTTAAACTTCTCAAAACCCTAGGTTCATATTGACTTATTTTTAAAGAATTACACTTTTTGATTATGGATGTTTTTCGTTCATGAAATTCTTTAAATTTATAACATTAATTAATGAGCAGAAAAAACTCACTTGAAAAAATTTCACAATTAGCTCATTCAGCCAGAAATCAAGGCAAAGGTCTGAATATCATTGATTTCATAAAAAAACAAAACTTTCAAGATGGGGCTCCTTCTACTATTTTATTTTCAGATGAACTAAATAAATTAAAATCATGTGAGATGTGTTTAAAATTATAAAATGAACTTGACAATCATGTTAAATTAGATAGATTTCAATAAGTTATTGAAAAACTATGCAAAAAGTTAAGGATCATTGAAGATGAAAATTAAAAAGTACTAATAAAAATTTAGAACCTTGAAAGAGCTCTAAATGAATAATTAGAACTATTTTAAGCATTTAATAAATAAGAAACTAACAAATTTGGATCGAATTAACCATAATCTTAGCACAGATACAGTACATTAGATCAAGAATAACTTCATAGATTAGAAAAAAAAGTTTCAAAAGATGCACAAAAAGGAATTAAAAGCAGTGAAGAAAATCTTATAAAAAATTTCAATAAAGAAATTTAAGCTAAATTGAACTTTGTTCAAGAATATTAATTAGAAACTAATCTTAAGTTTACAAATATCTTTCAATAAATAGATATGTTAAATAACAAATTAGAAACACCCAAGTAAAATGTTGTAGAAAAAACTAATTATATAGAATCAACTCTAAAAGAAAATAATAAAATCCTAAATATTCATAAAATTAACATTTTAGAAATGTAAAACCAGGTAATTTATATAATTTAACTCAGTATAGTGATATAGATTCCGATATGATCAAAATATTTCAACATATTAAAACTTTATTATAAACTAATTATAAAGTAGATAAGATGGAGAAATCATTAAATAATTTGTAGTACCAATTAACTCTAATTACTGATACTCTAAATGATATTGGTGATATAATTTCTAAATCATGAAAAATATCATTATTAACACCTTTAATCATCAATTAAAGGGAAATTTTATAAATTTATTAAAAAATTTATTTATTTAGACTTCAGCAACAGAGATGTTCATAAATCTCTTTCTCATTATGATAAAAATTGATCATAGTATACTTTGATAAAAATTAATAAAGTAGATTAATAAATAAATTTTAGAATTAATAATTATCAGAGATTTATTGTGGTTTAAGATAAGAAATATTATAACTTTAAATAATTTTAGTTTCTTAAATTTTCTATTACAGGCCAAAGATTGCAAAATTCCAATATATTTGAGGACCTATATAATTATTTAAAATATATCTAAAGGCATTTAAGAATGGAGAAATTTGTTTTAAGTATTATATTAGACTATCATGAAAAAGAAAATTTCTTTTAAGAAATATTGAAGAAATTCAAGCAATAAAAAATTAGCTACAGGATTTTTTATTATTACTTGGAAATAAATAAGTTTATTATAATACATAAGATAAACTTATTGTATCTGCAGTTTAAATTCAAAAAAATAAAAGATTCACTAAACTTACTTACTATTCTCTATTTATTAAATTAATTTTTGATTTTTTTCTGTTATTTCCTAAAATAAAGTAAATATTTACCCTTATTAAAACTCGTAAACTTTTAAGGCGCTTATCAAATTCAAATTATTCATCCTCTAAATCAGCTCTCTCTTGCATACATTAGAATAACTCTTAATTAATATTTTCCAACATGTATTTGTAAGATATTTGCAGATGACTCTAGATTTCTGTTTATGTAAATAGTAATTTTAGTTAATTTTTAGCGTTTTGAAGTTGTTTCAGTTATTCTATTTTACTTTATTTCTCTGCTTTAATATCTTGTCTTTAAGATTCTAAATCACATAATTCTAATTCCTCCAGCTCTCTTATATTTTCCGATAAATAAGGATCAACCATAACTTTATCATTTTGATATTCTATGTATTAACCATTTAATTTTACCCTTGTGTCTAATTTTTTAAATATTATCAATAATTTATTTCTAATATTCCCTCAATTATTTGTACTCTTTTTCTTTTTAATTATAAACAAGCAATAATTCTTGTTAATAACATCTTTCTTTACTAACAATAATTTCAACATCTTCTAACCCATCTTCTGAAGGTGTTTATTCTGCATATTCTTCTTCATACATTTATTTTATTATGTCAAATTAAAAAAAAACTTATAAAAATTATTTTAATTTAATTCAATATCTAATATATAAAACTATATTTATTCAAATAGAAAAATCTTTTGGTTAATTTCAATAAAATCTAATATAATCTTTAGTTATTAAAATAGGTATTTTAATTTAAATTTATTAATTAAAATAATGATAATTTAGACACTACGCCACTAAGATAGAGGGGAAAAGAATATTTAAGTCATAAAATCATTGAACAATAAATATTAATATCAAGAATCCTAATTTTCATTATTTTCTTCTTTATCAACCATTCCTATATTTTCATTATTTTGAATAAGAATATTACTATCATTAACTAATTATGATAATGGATTATTTTTAGGATGTAAAGGGCTTTAAGAAAGTTTACTTCCTAACCAACCTCCTTAAATTACTTAAAGATAAGATATCTACTATCGACAAGATGGACAAGTTAGAACTTTCATCAACCATTTCTTTAAGCATATATGATGAAAAATATGTCCACAAACATTTATGCTTATTTCTTTTTGATTTAAACTATCTAAACATACTACACATTATGTATATGATTGATATTCTTAATTTTATTTAATGAAATCTTCATAATTGAAAATTTCAAAGTATTTATCAAAAAATTACCCACTGAAATTTTTTGGATTAATCTCTAAAAGTGGTGGCCTCACTTTCACTTTTACCTTTTTCTTCATTTTTTAAGTATCTTTTTACTTACATAAATTTGTTATTCCAAAACAAATTATAATAATAATTATGTTGAAGGACGCAAAAATAAAAAATAAACAATTCCCATCCCATATTTTTGCAATTTATTCTTATTATAGAGATAATTTAAATGTTTGATTTGTTTTACAATACAAACCAATTATCAAAGTAGAAGAATTTTAAAATGTTTGTTTAAAATTTTACATTAATCTTGTTAGACTTAGTTAATTATGTAAAATTGCAGTATATGTTGTTTGATCTGGGATTTCATAGCCTTTTACACCTAAAATTCCAAAGCTTAAAGCTAAATATTTAAAATAAAATACTTATAGGTTCAATTACATCTTATGCCATTAAAATAATTTATTCATTAAATTAGGAAGACAAATAGATCATCTTACGACCAATCAACTACATTTCGTACAGTACATCTAACTCTATTTTTTATAGTTCAAATTAACAATATGATCCAAAATAACCATCCTAACATTCACATTTTGATGTACAGCTTGTATTTTATATTATTTTATTCAAAGAATATCCTTAACAGTTGTTTATACATGTAGAGTGAGTTTTAGAATAAACTTCTAATCTTACTCTAAAAGGTCCAAATCCATCTTTTATATAGTAGTACACTTCATTTTTCTAAGGAATTTCAATTAAATGTATATTATTATGGGTCTAAATGGATTCATAGTCAAAATAAATTTCCTTTTTACTCTCAATAAATTTTGGTTTCGTTGTTCTATTGAAATCTGTGTCCAAAATTATCTCATCTGAAACAAGGGCTAAAGGGTAGTTTGCCTTTTCAAAATAGAAAACTAGTAAAAAGCTTTCATCATTTTTTTCTAAGCTTAATTTTCCAGAAATTTTGTTGACTATTTCTAGTTCAATCGAATTTAGTAATTAATAAGCATTTCCTAAAACTATTAGGAATGACAATTATAATATCATCAAATAAATCTTAAAAAATAAAACACAAATTTCTAGTAACCCGAAAATAAGAATTTATATTAATTTTCACAAATTATAATANCAAAAAATTACCCACTGAAATTTTTTGGATTAATCTCTAAAAGTGGTGGCCTCACTTTCACTTTTACCTTTTTCTTCATTTTTTAAGTATCTTTTTACTTACATAAATTTGTTATTCCAAAACAAATTATAATAATAATTATGTTGAAGGACGCAAAAATAAAAAATAAACAATTCCCATCCCATATTTTTGCAATTTATTCTTATTATAGAGATAATTTAAATGTTTGATTTGTTTTACAATACAAACCAATTATCAAAGTAGAAGAATTTTAAAATGTTTGTTTAAAATTTTACATTAATCTTGTTAGACTTAGTTAATTATGTAAAATTGCAGTATATGTTGTTTGATCTGGGATTTCATAGCCTTTTACACCTAAAATTCCAAAGCTTAAAGCTAAATATTTAAAATAAAATACTTATAGGTTCAATTACATCTTATGCCATTAAAATAATTTATTCATTAAATTAGGAAGACAAATAGATCATCTTACGACCAATCAACTACATTTCGTACAGTACATCTAACTCTATTTTTTATAGTTCAAATTAACAATATGATCCAAAATAACCATCCTAACATTCACATTTTGATGTACAGCTTGTATTTTATATTATTTTATTCAAAGAATATCCTTAACAGTTGTTTATACATGTAGAGTGAGTTTTAGAATAAACTTCTAATCTTACTCTAAAAGGTCCAAATCCATCTTTTATATAGTAGTACACTTCATTTTTCTAAGGAATTTCAATTAAATGTATATTATTATGGGTCTAAATGGATTCATAGTCAAAATAAATTTCCTTTTTACTCTCAATAAATTTTGGTTTCGTTGTTCTATTGAAATCTGTGTCCAAAATTATCTCATCTGAAACAAGGGCTAAAGGGTAGTTTGCCTTTTCAAAATAGAAAACTAGTAAAAAGCTTTCATCATTTTTTTCTAAGCTTAATTTTCCAGAAATTTTGTTGACTATTTCTAGTTCAATCGAATTTAGTAATTAATAAGCATTTCCTAAAACTATTAGGAATGACAATTATAATATCATCAAATAAATCTTAAAAAATAAAACACAAATTTCTAGTAACCCGAAAATAAGAATTTATATTAATTTTCACAAATTATAATACTAATAAAATAAGAATTTTGTGAGGTATGATCTTGAATGATGAATATTTCAAAAAATTATAGTTAAAATTATTATTCATAATTATTCAAATTAAATGTATAAAAGAGACCCACTTTAAATATATTACACTTAATTAATATTTATTCATCAAAAAATAGTGCAAATATTTAAAAATATTTTTAGTTCATAATATTCTTTTGTTTTCTTTAATAATTATAATATATTATAACCCTAGTGATTTTGCAAAAAAAATTATTATCTATATTTAATTAGTGTTTCAAATTTTATCCAATTCATTCAGAATCAAAAATTTGAAAAAAAAAATCTATTGCAGAAGGCTGCGAATATCAATTTAATTTGATTAGATATTTTTCTTTATAAGAAACTTAGTTTATAAATTCAAGGTGAAGTGAATGAATTCGATTTTTAGATGCATGATTATTTTAAATAAATCATAGTTAATATATTATAAAAATTCAAAAATAACATAACACACTAATTTTTAATAATCATTCATAAATTATCATTTTTTTAATTAATAGAAAACGAATCATAAATAATTTCTATAATATTTTAGAGGGCCTGCAATGGTAATAACTTAAAAAGATGTACTAATATTCATTTTGAAATTAAAACTATTTTAATATAATATCATTAAATTTAATTTTCTCGATGAAAACCAACTTCACTTGATAAAGAATGTTTATTTTTTATCTTTCTCTTAAATATTGATCTATTCAGATTTATGTAAAATTCTACATCAGATCTCATTTATTTAAGTATACTTGAACACCATAGGAAATTACCAAAATACATTCTTACTATCTGTCTTGCAGTTCTTGATTTGATTAATTGTTAAATATGCTTCTTATTATAATTTTGTTTGCCTATTTTTAAAAATTTTTAAATCTTTCTGTCCTCTCTAATCTCAGCTATATCAAAATTGCTTATAATAAATTAAGATAAATTATTTCCGATATTCTTATAATAATTTTTAGATAATCCTGGAAACATGTAATCATTAAAAATAATCTTAGTTTCACTTTTTTCTTACTACTTTTCTATATTTGATTCCCTGTTTACTTCAACTTCTTCTAGTTTTTATTCTTAACTTTCTATTGATTATACTTGTCTTGGTTATTTGATAACATAAACAGGAAAAGCCAAAAAATGGCGTCCTTCAATACATATTTTGTATATTGGATTAGAAATATTTAACATAAAAATTAAAGATAATCAAAATACTGATATTTGTGTTTGTAATCAAGAAACTTTCATATCATGTCTCATACATTAATAAATTTACAAGTGTACTACCAAGCCTTTTCTTGCTTTTTAATTTCTTATATATTAAGTTGAACTAAGATTAGGATTGTAATTTATTATTTTACTTTTTATTGAATAATATAAATTGAATAGAGAAATTATATTAATTTATAATTAATTTAATATTAAATTTTATGAACTAGCAACCAAGCTAGAATGCAAACAAACTTTAATAAGACAAAAAAACATAAATTTTTGAACTTTAACAGTTATTTCCAATAACTTAGATACATGATAAAGTCAATTAAGATTATCAAGAGCAATACTTAGTGACTATTCTTCCAGATATTTAAATAAAATTGTAATTTTTAGACTTTATGATTTCCAAGAGTTATTAATAAAGATTATCCATAAAGTTAAGCCAAATTTTATGTTATATAAAATTTATCGCATGAGATTATCAATGAAACCAATTGGCAAATTAAAGTATAGAATAAAGAAAGCTTGAAACTTACTGCCCTTAGAATAAAAGAGCTATTCTATTAGTCTAAACCTCAATAAGATCCTTATATAGAGGAATTATAAAATTAAAAAAATAAGATTAAAGAGGAATAGATTATTTAAAAAATTCAATAAGTTGATTTAAAAACATTATTCCCTAATGTTGCAGTTACAGATTATAAGAAGATATTAGAAAGTGGAAAGTTGCTTGAATATATTGAAAAATTACCTGATTATAAATTATTGACTCAATATATAATAGAATTGGGAAAAACAAATGAGAGTTTTGCTGGTATATATTATTTATTAATGTTAGATCACCTCATTGAATAGGATAAGAAAATTAGAAATCAAAAAGCTGAATTAATTCATTTAGCAGCATATTTCGATAAACTAAAGGCAGATGCAATTACAAAAGAAAGGGAATGTTATGAAGTTCAAAATGTAAAAATATTATTTAAAATTTTAAAGAGATTGGATCCATATCATATAGTTCGTTAGTTAGATGAATAGATAAATTAGTTAGATGAAATTAGTAATGATAAAATAGAAGATTTAAATGGATCTACTATAATTTTGAGTAAATAATTTGATGATGAGTTGCAATAGTATTTAAACTTGAGAAAGTAACAACACTAACTGTAAATTAAAAAAGATAAATTGGAATAAACACTGCTCTAAAAGAAAAAAGAATAAATGAAATAAAATTGATATTTTATTCATAAAAATAATTATTTTTCTATTATTTATATATTAAAATACCATAAAAAATTATTAAAGCTATTTAATTAAATTTATCAAAATGATTTCATTTGTAATTATCTAGAAAATTTCATTCTAAATTTTTATAGTCAGAATAAAGCATGTAATTAAATATATTATATAATTATTTTAAAGATTTTTTATGTTATAAAACGATCATAATCTTTGTCTAATCCATAAAGCAAGAGAAGAATTTATTTGTGTTAATTCAATCTGTATGGATAAATAAAAAAAATTAAGCTGTTATAAATGTTTAGAAGCTTTACATATCTATCATCACAATCCTAATGAAGATTTCAAATCTATATATGCCATAATTGAACAGATTACTTTAGAAAAAGAAGAAAGATTAATTATATTAGAAAATGCTAAGTAATGGAATCTTGATTAGAAAAAGAAAAAAAGGTAAGAATTAGAAAAATCAGAAATTTTTTCTACTTAATATAAAAATAAATTGTAATCTTAAATTGATTAATAATTCGATCAATCTTGTAAAAAAATAAATGAAATTTAAAAATGTTTAGAAGAAGCTAATCCATATCATCCATTTTTTTTCTCCAAATTAATTTCTTTGTATAAGTAAAACATTGAAGAATTTACTGAATAAATTGATAAAATAAAAATTAAAACCCTAGGAAATAACCTTTTATTAGAATAAAATTCATACATAGACTTAATTGAATGTGTAAAAAAGTACATTTATTCATTAAAATAGATTGCAGGAAAAAAATTAAATTTTAGAAAACAAGGTTGATTAATTATCAATATAGAAATCATTTTAAAAAGGGAGAAATAATTTTTATTCTGTCGTTTTTTTAAGCCTATTTACAATTTTTGTAATATTTAATTTTATCCAAAGATTGTTTAATCCTTTTATAATCCATTTTCAGATTATGAAAAAAAAATAGATTTGAAAATTTCAAGCATTTAGTTGAATTATTAAGAAATTTTGAAAAGCCAAAATGAATAGATTAATTTGCTAAAAACAAACCTTCTTCACTTTATTGATTAAGAAATATAAAATTTCTCAATATAAATACTGCAATTAAACGCTAGTTTAAAATAATAAGAAAAAAAAAATGATGATTTAGGTGAATATATTTTTAATTTATAATTATCTTTTTAAGAGTACTAAAAAAACTTCAGCTAATTGATAAAAAATGAGATCGATCAAAATAATAAAATAGTTTAAGAAGAACTTAACTCCTATTTTGAAAATAATATCTCAAAAAATGATTTATTTAATAAATTTGAAAACTTTTTTGAATCTAAATTAAAAATTTTTCATTAATTTATGAGGGACATTTAATCTAAAATTTAATAAATTGATGAAAAATAAATGGAAATGGAAAAAAATTTTAATTTTATTTAGGAATTTATAGAGTCAAAAAAAAATCATCACAAATGGTTTAAAAACATGTAATTTACTGGATTTCGAAATAGCCAAATTTTTAAACATTTTTGATAGATCAAGAATTAGAAATTTGATTATTATTAAAAAAAAATTGCAGATTAAAATAAATTTCTAACAATCGTATAATATCTATAATTTTAATAAATTGTAATATGAATAAATTGAGGGGATTTTATAAATTATTTGATTCTGGGGTATAGATCTAAAATAAAATAGTACATTTTTCTTTTTAACTAAAATCTTTCATAATTTGTTTCTAGATAAGAAGAAATTACAAACACAAGATTGATTAATAGGAACTGAAACTCAATATTGATGAAAATTAATCATATTCTAATAACTATAATAAATCAATTTAATTTTTTTTGATTATTTTTAAAAATCATAAATTGTTTAATTCAATTTGAAAGAGATGATATAATATAAAAACAAGTTAAGCATGATTAACTTCATTATAATAAAATTAATGGGGATAAATGGATTAAAAATTAATTGAAAAAGAAACTTTTTGATATTTATATTAAAGAATTTAATAAGATATTTTTAGGAAAAAATTTAAAGAGAAAATTTTGTAGCAATTAATGTTATAGATATAAAAACAATTTTAGTAAATGATAAGATTTTGAATGAGTTGTTTAATCATGATATAAAGGATTATAGAAGGTTTAAACATATATGTTTTATTTGATTGTTAAATAATTGTTAGAAAATTATTTCAAATTTTGAGCAATCCCTTAAAAGTAATCTCTCAATCTTTACAAATGATTATCTTTCTTCCATATGTTAATCAAATATATGTTCTAAATAAATATTAATTGTTTGTTATTTTAAATACATTATGATTCAGAATGATAAAAAATTGAAAAAAATATTATTATATGGCGAAAGCAAAGCAGGTAAAATATTAATCTAATTAATAATATTTGCCAATATTACTCGAAATTAAGTTATAAAGATTAGATTAGATCTAAATGATTAAGAAACATTTAAATTGATATAAAGTCTCAAGTTTAATTTATGCCTTAGTGGATATTTAAAATATGTAATATATGGGCGGGATTATTATTTATACTCCCAAATATTAAATTAATCAAACTGACTGCAATAAATAATAATAATTTGGATTTAAATAGATCATATTGTACTATAAAAAATAAAAAATAAAATTCAATATATAATTTCATCGTAATTATACTAATTATTCAGTATATCTAGAATGAAATAACCAATTACAAAAGTGAAGCCCAATTTTTTTTTGTAACTCTTCACTTTTAGCACTTTTTAATAATAATCTATGATATATCTAATATTTACTTATCTTAATCTTGAAGTTCTGAATAAAACTATTATAATAATGTTTCATTAAAATAATTAATTTTTTCCTCCATAAAATTATTCATCAAATGACCAAATTATAATTGAGCAATATTCATAAGATTATTGTTAAGTATATAATTTCTAAAACATAACAGAAAATATGATATTTCTTATAAAAATCTTAAATTAAGTGTGTATGATAATTCTTTGATAAAGAGACATATAGTTTCATCACATCCAATTTTTATAATATTATTTTCAACTTCATAAATGTGTTCATTTCTTTTTAAGACATTCACAAAAGTGTTCATAAAAGAATCATTTTCAATTTTATTACCCTTTTTAGATTCAATAAATTTAAATACGAAATGAATTTTATTTTTCAAATCATCACTAAATAAAAAGTAAAACATACTTTGAAATTATTTCTGCTTCAGCTTAGAGAATTTATTTATATTTATTCTCAACTAAATCAAGTAAAAAATCATCAATAGATTGTTTAGCTTCTATTTAAACTTTTAAATAGAAAGGTGGCTGCTCAATAGCTTAATGGGTATTTAACTAGATTATATAAAAGCATACTTCATCTCTTCTTGGTCTTCCTCTACTGCCGACTGCTTTCGGCCTTAACATATTTTTTAAATATCCAGCCCCATGTTTTGACTTGATATGAGTATATAAAGCTGGATAACTCAAGTATTCTTTTCCACATCCATCAGATGTACATTTGAAATCTCCTTATATTTCTCCTCTTTTGGATCTTCTTCTTTTAGCTTATTCATTATTAGACATTTAAATAAAATAATATTTTTTCTAATAAAATTCCACAAAATATATGTAATAAGAGTTGATCCAATTTAAACAAGAAGACTCTAAAGCTCCTTTTACAATAAAATCAGAGATATAAATCTAAAAGTAAAAAGAACAAGATATTGAAATATAAAACCTATATAGAATGATTGATAAAGGGATCGATTATTATAATAATGGACAATTTACATTTGCCAAAGTTGTTTTGTATAAAAGCTCTAGTACTCTACTAAATTAAATAAAAAAAAATCGTAAGAATTATTAAATCAATTAAGAAATATCTGAAAAAGAGAAACCTCCCTTGATAAAGGGTATTATAGAAGGATAAAAGCAACTATATAGTTGGATTTGTCACATGCTTAATTAAATCCAATATAATTATTTAGTTATGAAAAATTGCAATTGTAATTGGATGTATTTTATTTTATTGATAGAGATCTAGAATAATAAGTTAAAAACCAAAACACTAAGCAAAAATTACAATAGATACTTTATAATTTTAAAAATATTCATACTTTATATACATAGAGACTTAAAACTACCAATATTTTTATCAAAATGTCTTTACAAGTTTTACTTAGATTAATTTTACTAAAAATTAAGTTAATGTAACAGATATTTAAAAAAAGGTTTTATTAAGCGGATGCTTAAATTTCACCCTCATAGAGAATTACCTTTTTACAAATTATATAGCATAGGATTTTTGAGAGATAAATATTTTATTATTTATGTTGTTCTATTATTTTATAACGTTTGAATACTTATAAATAATATCATATGGATTTTCAGATATCCTTGGCTTTTTAAAATCTTTAATTATAATGAAAAAAAGATTTTAATTAAACCTTTATAAGAGGTAAATATAAAAAAAAATCAAATAAAGCAATGAAAGGAATTTAAAGAAGCATCAATTGGATAAAAATAAATAAAATTTATTACTTATTGAATATAATATTTGAAATTCAAAATTATTCTACTATACTTTTATGTTAGTAAGTTAAAAATGAACAACACATCTAAAAATAAATAGAGGAATGGATTTGAAAAATCAAGAGCGACATTAATTTTAATTGTATTTTAAGTTAATGAGAAATATTTTTTTGTAGTTTGTTATATAAGAATAAATTTTGATTATGCTTTAATTTGAGGATATTGCATAATAATAGAATCTATTTGGAGAAAAAAGAATTTAAGAAATACTGAAGAATCAGCTAGATTAAGAAAAATTTAATAGAAATCTCGATTAAGAAATATATCTTATTTAGAAAAAAAATAATTAAATATCAAATCTTTATATATCACATGATTTTACGTTCTGAATATTGATTTATGCTAAATAAACCATTTAGTTTTATTGAACTAGATGACAACAATTTTTCTTTAAAAAAAGTGTTAATAATTCTATCCTTATAAACAAAAGATTTATCAAAATCAAAAAAGTATCAGAAGATTTGTTCCATCAACATTTTACACAGTCTTGATTATAAATGATTATAGATTAAGAGAAAATCGGCATTTTAGAAAATATGTTCTATCTTATTAATTGTCATTTTTTTTTTAATTAATAATGTCTTCCCCTAAGCTTCCAAAATTAGATAAAAAAATGAACATAGAAGGTTATTAATTACTAGAACTTCTTGGAAGTGGCAGTTTTGGAAAGGTAAATGGTTGAATTATACTAGGTTTTTAAAGCTAAATCTTAAAAATATGGTATAGTGGCATTAAAAGCAATGCTTAAAATAAGATTCTCAGAGCATAAAGGGTTTTTAGGTCAATTAGTTGAAAATGAAAGAAAAGCACTCGAATGCCTTAAATCTGATCATATTATAAAATTATATCAGTATTTCGAAACCAAAGATTATGCTGTTTTTATTTTAGAATATTGTGATGGTATATATCATTATTTATATATTTTAGGTGGCACTTTAGAGGATTATTGGATGAATTAAGATAACGTTATCCCTTAATTTCAGGCTTTGATTTTTTTTAAATAATTGTTAAAAGGAATGAAGGCATTACACAAAGGAAAGATTATTCATAGAGATTTGAAAATGGCCAATATTTTATTACATTAAGGTATTTTAAAAATTGCAGATCTTGGATTTTGCCATCTATTAAAGGAATAAGTATTAGTTTTATTTTATTTAATAGGATGGTTTAGCTTATGACAATCTAGGTTCATATGGAACTATGGCTCCAGAAATTCTTGAAAGAAAACCATATGGACTTCAAGCAGATATGTTTGCTGTAGGCGTAATTCTATACCAAATGTTATTTTCTAAATTTCCTTTTAACTCAGCCAATCATCACATTTTTCTTGAAGAAGTCAAATATTCTAGTATTTGAAACTTAGTTCATATTAGATCCTCCTAAATTTAAATCTAAAAAAGGTCCTGTTGACAAAAACATTTGCGAATTATTGACAAATATGTTAAAATATGATCCAAAACAACGTTTAAAATGGAGTGATTTATTTAGTAATTCAATTTTTATGGGACAAAGTTCAAGTAAATATTTTAAATATTTAAGTGAGCATAATCAAAGATCACACATAATATTTTGCTGATATTGATCCTCATAAAAGCAAATTATTTTATCAAAAAGCTGAAGCTAATGAAAAGTAATTTGAAATTTTAAATCCAACAAATGATGAGTAAATGTAAGATGAAATTTTTAAAACAAATCATAAAATTTAGGAGTACATGAATTAATCAAAAAAAAATCATAATTCTGATGTTGTTCCACCAGTTAATATATAATTAAAAGATAATATGTTGCAATCTGAAGTTCTACTTCAAGAAGCAAACACATTTGATTAAAAAGCTGAGGATTCAATAAAGTTGTATAGTAAAGCCAAACAGCCTATTTCTTGTTTAAGTCTAACTTATAATAAAATGAAATCATTTTAGCATAAATAAATATTTGACTCCATATTTGTGAGCTACATTTTGATTAAACAAATATATTACTAGCATTATAAATTAAGGGCTTAAATCAAGGATGATAAGTTTTATCCTTAATTGATAAAAAAAAGCATATTTAAATCTTTTATGAGAGAATTTGAAGAAGAAAATGAATTTCTATCAATACATTTAACAATGGAATATCAAACTGTTTAGTATTTATTTTAGTAAGTTTAGGGCTAATTTTAATAAACTTGAAAAATATCTCAAGCCTGATTGGATTTGTGAAGTTTATTAACTATCTTAGACAAATAAATTTTAGAATATTTATAGAGAAGTACTATCAAATTATTTAAACATTATTGGAAAAGAAGAATTATAAAAATAAGGGGAGCCAAATGCATAGCGTTTACAATATATTGCAATGGTGACTAATATAAAGGATTATGAAGAATTAACTACGATTAGTAATATAGATAAAGGCATAGCTGCTATCGAAAATAGGGACATTAATGAGTTAATAGAACATATAAAATCTTCTATGATATGATTTTATTAATATTTTATTTTTATCTCTAAGAGAACAATCCCAATATAAAACATGTTTTAGTTCCTTATTTATTACATCTTATCTAAAATTCGTTAAAAATTATTTGAATATTCTAGGGATTGCGCATTTTATGGATGATCCTATGGAAATTTATTAAAATGAAGTGACTAAAAAATTTTTCTTAATAGAACAATTCTATATGCTAAATGATAGTTATGAGAAATTTTAAGCTTCCAATGAGGCAAAAATAACTTGAGAAAATTTTTAAATTATGTAGATAAATTCTTATCTTATAAACAGAACAAAATAAAATTTAACATAAGTAAAATTTTTTTCCTATTTTGCATCATTATAACCTTAAATTACACATATGATGCCAAAAGTGATAATACTAAAAAGAAGAATAAGATTTTTAGTGGTTCTGGGTTAATTTTAAGTGGGTTACCTTAAACTTGAGAACAAGTAAATGCAAAAGCATAAATAATTTTGAAATAGATAGACTATAAAATTCTCAAAGCAAAAATTCAATTACATTAATCTTCAATCTTAATACAAAATAATTAAACAAATCATTCAAAGAAATTACGCTCAAATTTTGGAAAAATATGAAAGAATTACTTTCAATAATAGCACCTAAAATATAACATATTTGCTAATTTTAATGATATTTTAAAATTTAACGCTCAAATTATAAAAATATTTAAATTTAATGCTATCACATTCTTATGGCTTAATAAAATAAAACTTAAAGTTAGTAAAAAATGTATTGTCTAAATGATACTAAAAGTTTAATGAAGGAATCTTCTTGAAAAATCGAAAATCTAATGTTGTTGCTTTTAAGAAGCCAAATAATAACTGCAAAAGAAAAAAATGAATTTAGTGTAATCAATGAACTAATAAGGCTTTCAACTAAATACCCAAGCTTAAGTTAAGAAACTAAATAACTTTTTCAATAAATTAATTTTTTAAATAATTTGAATATAAAAACCTAAAGAATAGAAAAGTAAAATCACAATATTGTAGTTTAGACTTAAAAAACACAATTCTTAGCACCAGAAGCTATAAGAAGAATGATATATAAATTTTTTGAAACATCATGATTGTTCACTTTTAGCACTTTTTAATAATAATCTATGATATATCTAATATTTACTTATCTTAATCTTGAAGTTCTGAATAATACTATTATAATAATGTTTCATTAAACTAATTAATTTTTTCCTCCATAAAATTATTCATCAAATGACCAAATTATAATTGAGCAATATTCATAAGATTATTGTTAAGTATATAATTTCTAAAACATAACAGAAAATATGATATTTCTTATAAAAATCTTAAATTAAGTGTGTATGATAATTCTTTGATAAAGAGACATATAGTTTCATCACATCCAATTTTTATAATATTATTTTCAACTTCATAAATGTGTTCATTTCTTTTTAAGACATTCACAAAAGTGTTCATAAAAGAATCATTTTCAATTTTATTACCCTTTTTAGATTCAATAAATTTAAATACGAAATGAATTTTATTTTTCAAACCATCACTAAATAAAAATTAAAACATACTTTGAAATTATTTTGCTTCAACTAGATTATATAAAAGCATACTTCATCTCTTCTTGGTCTTCCTCTACTGCCGACTGCTTTTGGCCTTAACATATTTTTTAAATATCCAGCCCCATGTTTTGACTTGATATGAGTATATAAAGCTGGATAACTCAAGTATTCTTTTCCACATCCATCAGATGTACATTTGAAATCTCCTTTTATTTCTCCTCTTTTGGATCTTCTTCTTTTAGCTTATTCATTATTAGACATTTAAATAAAATAATATTTTTTCTAATAAAATTCCACAAAATATATGTAATAAGAGTTGATCCAATTTAAACAAGAAGACTCTAAGGCTCCTTTTACAATAAAATCAGAGATATAAATCTAAAAGTAAAAAGAACAAGATATTGAAATATAAAACCTATATAGAATGATTGATAAAGGGATCGATTATTATAATAATGGACAATTTACATTTGCCAAAGTTGTTTTGTATAAAAGCTCTAGTACTCTACTAAATTAAATAAAAAAAAATCGTAAGAATTATTAAATCAATTAAGAAATATCTGAATATGAGAAACCTACAGCTATAGCAAAATTGTAAAGCAGTATAAGGCATGCTGAAGAGTGCAATTAATAAATTACTAAGATTCTAAAATAAATTGTTAAGTTTTGATTTATAACCTGTTGTAGGCTTAAAAAGATCCATATAGTCAATAAATAATCGAGACTTCTATGATAAGAAAAATTGATGTCAGTTTTGAACAAATAATTGGTTTAGATAACATCAAGAATAAACTTGAAGAAACAATCATTATGCCAAATTTAAGACCTGATATTTACACCGGTATTAGAGCACCTCCTAAAGGTAAATTAGTATAAATTAGAAAAGGCATTCTATTTTATGGTCCTCCAGGAAATGGTAAAACCTTATTAGCCAAAGCTATTGCTAACTAAATTAAATGTTGTTTCTTTAATATAAGTGCATCAACTCTTGTCTAAAAGCATTTAGGAGAAGGAGAAAAGCTTATGAAAGCATTATTTGAAACTGCCTTTTAAATATAGCCTTCCATAATTTTTATTGACGAAATCGATTCTATTTTATCAAAAAGGTCTGAAAATGAACATGAGGCAAGTAGAAGATTAAAAACAGAATTCTTAATTTCATTTGATGGAATGCAAACTTCAGATCAAGATAGGGTATTTTTAATTGCAGCTACAAACCGACCTTAAGATTTAGATGAAGCAGTTTTGAGAAGATTTGTAAATTCATTATTTTTATTCAGACTGTAAAAATTCTGATAGATTAACCTGAATTTAATGCTAGAATAGCTATGATCAAATCTTATATGACCAATGTCTAAAATATTTTAACTGATTAATAATTTCAATCTATTTCCGAAATGCTTCAGGGTATAATCAATTATAATTTAAATAGGATATTCTGCTAGCGATATAAGAGCTGTCGTTAAAGAAGCTTGCATGCAACCATTAAGAGAAGATTAATCTTTAATTTTTTCTATTCACAAATAAGATATTAGAGCTGTTAATAAAGAAGACTTTGATTAAGCCATGTAAAAAGTGAAGCCTACTTTATCTTAAAAATAGTACGAAGAATATGTTAAACATTTTAAATGATTGCTTTTTATATTTTCATAAAACTTTAATTTATAAAATTTAAAAGCATGCACTAATGTGTTTTAAATTATACAATCAATAAAAGCATTCTGTTAGGTAAAGGCGGATTTGGAAGTGTTTATTTGACTTAAAATGAATTAAATCAAGAGTTTGCTTGTAAAATAATGTAAAATCTTGAGATAAGTAGATCATTATCATAGAGTCAGAATAACTAAAGAAAGCTTAAATAACTTGTTGATCGAGAATTATCTATAATGAGTACTTTGGATAATTTGAATATTGGTAAAAATGACCCATTCATATTTTGATGGCAAAATTATCTACATTTTCATGGAGTATTGTAATGGTGGCAACTAAAAAAAAGGATTATAGAACTCTAATCAATATACTCATGCCCAAAGATTTACTAGTAAAAATATGAAAAATTGGCTCAAGAGGTATTTTAGGATATTATTGACTCTTTAAATTATTTATATTCTAAGAATATTATTCATAGAGATATAAAACTTGAGAATGTATTAATCCATAATGGCAAGTATAAACTTTCAGATTTCGGATTGTCTAAATTTTTGAGTGATATTGATGAGGAAAATCAATAATATAATAATCAAAGAAACTAATGAATAGTATTTTGGGAACTCCGTGCTATTAATCTTTTTAATTACTGAAACAACAAGTTTATTCTCCCAAAACAGATATTTTTCTCTAGGTATTCTATTATATGAATTGTTGAAAGGACGATAGTTACCTTTTAGGGGCTATAACGCTTAAGATTTATTAAAAGATATTGAAACAAAGTTGAAAAGTATCATTTCTTACTAATAATAGCTAATTACATTTAAACTAATTGATGTCAGTAGAAAATAAATTGCTTTAGTATTTAGTTTTGAAAATGCTAGTAGTAGATGAAGAATCAAGATTAAGTTTAAAAGATTTGTTAATTAAAGTCAATTAATTTCGAAAGAATGCTTAATTAATGTAAAAAGAGAACATCACAGCAAAAGAGACTAGATGTAAACCATATAAGCCGGAAAAAATAACATCTAAATTCTATAAATTATTTCATTTTAATAATCAAAAAAATTAAATTCTATATTGAATTATAAATGGGAAATCAGATTTGCTGGTGCTATGCTGATGAATAAGAACCTACAGCAAGTTAGAACTATTAAAATATAAACTAGACAATTTAGGATGATTAGTAAAATATATCTTTGTAATTAAATAAAAAACAACAGGAAATCAAAATTGAACCTGGTGATTAGAATATTTTAAATAAATTTGGAAAATCGAATATCAATTCTTAAAGAGAAAATGAACTTCCATTGAATAATTTTATTTTAAGCAAAATCAAACAAAAAGATATTAAGTATGAACCCTAAATTATACATTTTAATGATCCTTTATCAAATATTGTTTCTACATGGTTCTAATCGGCGATAGCTTAAACAAAGTTTATTTAAAATATTCATATTTCTGAAAAGCTTAAAAACAATAATTTTGATTAAGAAATTAGAAATAAAGAAGATCTTCAAACTTTAATTTGTTTAAAATGGTGTGTTGTTGATTATTTCAAAGAACAAAAAATACCTGAAAATGTAATAATTCGAAAATGCTTTAAAATGTTTTATAAGGCTGTTCATTATTGTATCAACTTTAAGAAACTCTTTCTTGAAAATCAAAGTAACGATTGTAAAGAAAACATTTAACTTTATCTCAACCTCTATTAGTATTTTTAAAGAATCATGAATACTTTTGCAAAGAAGTATGAAATTTATGTAAATATTATGTAACAGATGTATAAAAACTAGTTTAATTTCATTAATCAGTTTAAATAATACCCTTTTTTTTAGGTAATAGGATATATGATGAGATTTTGGTGTTAAATCATGCTTTCTGATGATGTTTAAAATAAGTTAAATAATAATTTTTAAAGTTTGCTAAAAAGTGACAATTAAATTCTTATTTATTAGTATGTGATTTATGCTTTAGATGTTAATATTAATGAATATAATGTTCATTGGATAGGACATAGAAAAAATTTTAAATATGAGAAGAGATTATTGATTTAGAAACCTTTTGTAGAGGATTAATAATAAAAATCAGAATACTCAATTTGTATAGATCATCTAGAACTTGCATATTTAAAAAATTAATATCCTTTATGGTATTTTTAATTTGAAATTGAATACAAGATAATTAAAAGTAAGTTTATAAATTTATTGAAGAATATGAAATATAATAAAGAGATTTAAATTGATTCTAATTTAAAGAAGTAAATCTTAGATAGTGAATTACTAGAATAAAGTGAAGAACAATAAAATAGTTTAAAATAAAATAATTCTTGTGAATTCAAGTAATAATCTGATTAAAATTACGAAAACTAGTTGATAACATTAAAAAATGATTTTTCTGATAATTGTTAATCATTAGATGAGACAGACGAACTTCTTAAAAAAAAAAAGCGTTTATCATATATATCTACAGAATCCAGTTATTAAGAAAGCATAGATGCTCAAACAAACTTTTCTTCCTTTAATAAGTAAAAGCTGTCTGATTTGAAAACTGAACTTATAAATATTGAAAAGAAATTCTAAGAACGAGAATTTATTTTATAACAAAGAGCAAAAAAATTAAAATTAAAACCAGATGAATAAATTGAGTGGCTAAATTATTTTGCAAAGACTAGTTTTGATAAAATACCTGATTCAAAGTTTTAATTAAAAGAGTATATAAAATAGATTTTAAATAAATTATCAGAATAGGATAATTACTATAAATAACAACTTTAAGACTTTATATGAACTATTATTAAAAGTATATATAAATAAATCTAATATTAAAAGATGTTATTGAAAGAGTAGTTATAGTATATTATTATATTTGATTATTTTATTGACTAATAAATTTTTATTTTAAATTATTTGCCATAAAAAAATGCTTAGTTGGTTCAAAAAAAAGAAGCCTGAAACAAATTAGCCATAATAAGAGGAAAAAGATGAAAGTGATTTTGTTGAGGTTAAAAAATTATAAAAATTAATAGGATGATACTTAAGTTGTTACAAATGAGGATAAAGAATTAGAAGAGAAAGGATTTGATCCAATAGCTTAAGTTTAAGAATAGGATAAAGAGAATGAAGGAATTGCTGATCCTGATAAATTGGAATATATTGGTTATTTGGATCTATCAGGAGATGAAATGCTTTAAGTGGTACTCAATTTAAAAAATTTTCCAAATGATGATGAAATTCGTCATGTTGAAGGATATGAAAAAGGAGGAAGAATTTGTGCTGATAAAAAAGTAGTAAGTAAAGCAAGAAGTGTTGGAAAAGAAATGGTTAAGTAAATAGGTAAAAAAATCTTATCAGGATCTCTGAATCTTACAAAAGTAAGTTTTCCTATTAGAGTTATGATTCCTAAAACTGCATTGGAAACAGCTGTTCATGGAAGTAATAAATTTTAATTATATGAGCCTCAATATTTCCATTATATATAACAAAGGCAACAATGACTCCAGATTTTTTGGAAAGATTTAAATTAGTTATTACAGCAACATTATCATCATTTTTTTGGACCAATACATTTTTAAAACCTGTATGATTAAAATTAATTTAGCTTAATCCAATATTAGGTGAAACTTTACAAGCATCATATAATGATGGAACTTAGATATATTGTGAATAAATTATGCATCATCCACCTGTAAGTTATTTTTTAGTTTATGGACCTAATAAAAAGTACAAATATTATGGATATTATTTGGTTGAAGGAAGAGCAGGATTAAATTCTGTGACAGTATACTACACTTATTTCTATATTAGATTATTAATAAAGGAAAACGATCAATTGAATTCAATGATGGATAAAAGATTGATTTTGATTTTCCAAATGAACTTTATAGTGGTACCTTCTTTGGTTAATTGAGATAAGAATCAATTAATAAAATTACATTTTAAGATAAAGCAAATGGACTTTAATGCATTATTGATATAGGAAAAGTTAAAAAGAAGTAATTGTATAGACTAAATTTAGAACTTCTGATTATTTCCAAGCAGATATCACATGTAAAGGATAAAAAGTTTCAACAGTATTTGGAACATATATTGGTTTCATTAATTTTGACAATGTCAGATATTGGGATTATAGATATGTAGTTCCATTCAAAATTAAAATGGAGAAATAGCCACTTGAAAGTGATCATAAGAACCGATCTGATTTATAATCTTTGAAAGCAGGAGATATTCCTATGGCTTAAAAAAATAAAGAGCTTCTTGAAAACATATAAAGAAATGACAGAAAACTTAGAGAACAAAATGAAAAATAAAAGAAATAGAAAAAATGAATTCAAAGTTAGTGTTAAAATATAATAAAATCAATCGATCAATCTTATTCCAGATATCTTCATATCTAATAATAAATCTTAAAATTTCATATCTATATATTTTACTAAATATATATCATAATTTAATTTCATTTTACATTGTTCAACATACTCCTTCAAAAACATCATCACTTATTTTTTCACTGATTGTGCGAATTAATTTTTAAATTTTAACTATATAGTTTTACTAATAATAAACAATAAAATAAAATAATTTTATTTTTAAACTCAATTGATTGAATTGATGAATTTTTATTTTTTTATCGTTATGAAAGATGTGTTCATATTTATTTCATAATAGGCAAATTGTCTAAAGATAAATGAGTTTCATTTTATTTATTTATAAAATACAAAAATTCATTATAGATAACTAATAATAATACTGATACAATTTTTTCTCCATTTAGTAGATTTAATGAAATGAGATTCCTACATTTTAATATAAGCAATTATTAATATAAAAATATAACAATTTATTTTTTCATTCTAAAATAGCTTTTTTCTGCTTAAATAATACTGTAAGATCAACTCTGGATTTGAATGTAATCTTACTGTTTTAAATTTAGGCTCGTTCACATTCAAATCTAAGTTATGATGAAAAAACAAATTTGCATGATTATTATTCAACATAATATCTGATTGCTTAATCAGAACCATAAGTTAAAAAGCATTGGTTATGAGTTGCGGCTCCCAAAGTTTTACCAATATGATTATCAATAATTAATTCTTTTTTTTAATCTTAAATTGATTATATTATAACTTATGATTAAGTAGAATTAGTGACAATAACTAAATCATTATTATACAAAAATAATGCTCTTGTTATTTCATAGTTTTGATAATCTTTATTAAATATTTCCTATTAATTTTTTAAATCAATAATAGTAATAAGATTTTTAAATGCTAAAACAAGCTTAGTTTAATCATTAGATAAATGAATATATTTTAATTCATTATATTTGTCCATTTTTTTATCACCAATTTTTTCACCATCAAAATCCCACATAAATAAATTTCCTTTTCTATCTGCTGTAATTATATTATTTTCAGTAGTTTCAATGAATTCAGGAATATGAGATGGTTTTTCCAACATATAAGATGATTAAATTTTCTTATTCATGATAGGAATCATAGAAATTTATTATTCATTGGTCCAAAACACTTATTAGGAATTTCTAATTAAAATAACTTTAGCCTACTTTTAAATGGTTACAATATCCTCAATTAATTCCAATTATTCTAAATCCCAAATACTTAATTTATTTGCTTCTTAAACAATCATGTAAATTTCATTGTTTGAAATAAAAGTTTACTATAGAGAATTAAAAAGACTGGCTTCTCTAATAACCTCAAAATTTGAATTCCATAGTTTAAGTTTGAAATCATCTCCTCCAGTTAATAGTAGATTTTTTTTCGATAACCATTAAATAGTTTTAATATCTCCAGTATGAGCTAAATCTATTTTTTTTTATGAATCTATAATTTAATTCACAATAACTAAGCTACCATTCTTCATTCCTGCATAAATTTAATTTGTTTTTAAATCATAAGCAATTGATAATACAGTATTATTTGGACAAGCTATTTTCTTTAATACTTTGAATTATTATGAAACTCCCCAAATTTCTATAACATCTCCTGCACAAAAGAAATAGTCCCCAGCCACTAAAATATCACTTAATATTCTATTTTGTGTTTAAAGAGTTTTTGAAGTAAAATCAGAAAATTTCCACAAATTTAAACTCAAAGAAGATACTGTAAGAAAATATTTTGAATTCAAAGTTTTAATTATAGAAATAGGTTGATCAAAATAAATTGATTTTTATTCTGAACTACAATCAGGTTTAATTATTAATAATTCTCCTTTTTCAGTTCCTAATAACTTAATTAAACCATCAACACTAGCTCCTATCGATGTAATTTTATGATCTTTTAATTTATTTTCAGTAAAATTATAATATACTTTATCACTAGTATTAAAATTTTTGGATTCTAAAAGTAATTATCTACTTTCTGAACCAGAAATAATTCTTTTATTTACATCTGCATAATCATATAGTAAATAATATTCCTAAAGACTTTCTTACCATAATTGAACGATTGATTCCTTTGTTTATGTCAAAATTCGAAATTGATCATTATATTTTATAATTTTGATATTTAATGGCCAACTTCCAAAAAGATTAATTTCATCTTAAAATTTCTTTCGAGGAAAATCCCATAGATATATATATCCATCTAAACTTCCTGAACACAATAATTATGAATCATCAGATATGGCCAAAGAGAGTATAGTTTAATTGTGTTTGATAAGATTTTACCCTTCTTATAGTCCATTTTTAGTATTCCATATTTTTATCACCCTATCCACTGATCCTGAAATTATATATTTACCATCAAATGAAAATATAGCACAAGTTATTTCAGCTTAATGTCCTTTATTTACATCAATTTTAGAATCTGAATTTTCCAAATCCCATAATTATACCAATCCTTCTGCAAAACCTGTTAAAGCCAAAGTCGAATTATTAATATTGACTAAACATAATGAATTTACTTAAGGTATTAAAATAAAATTTGTTTAACTGATTTAAGATTATTATTAAATATTCCATAATCTTATTGTTTTATCAGAACATGATACTAATTGCTTCCCATCAGTTGAAAACTAAATTTGAGAAACATTATCCTTATGACCTATTAAACTAAAAGATGATTCTATTTGTGGAATTTTATATACAATGCTACAAAATTTAATATATTTATTGAGATAATAATACTATTAATTTTCCTTTTTCTCCACCAAAAGCAATCAAAGTTGAATCTCTATTTATGTCTGAACATACAATTTTATTTAACTCTTTATCCTAATGAATTAGTTTATTTCCATTATCTTTTTCATTTAAATTAATTGAAAAAGTTTTTTCATGTTACGCTATTATTATTTTGTTAGCACATTTTAATTGATACACTTTTTTATCTGTTAAAGTTTTAAATTACTCAGGTGCTACTATCACATCAGGTTAAACCTTAATAACTTTCTTTTTTTCAGCTTATTAAATGTTATTATTATTTTAAATTTATTCATTCTCATTATAATTATCATCTTACATTTTACTTTAATTATTTGCCCTAGCTGGATTTTTTAGTCTACTATTTTGACTTTTATTTTCTTCAGGAACTTCATATTATATAGTTAATTGCATTTCATCTGCTCCATCATTCCCTCCTAAGATAATAGATTAATCATCTGGACCAAATGTTAATGTATTCTTATATTAAGAAAAACAATCTCCAAAATTTAATTTTTGTATTTGTTTATTGTTGATAATATCAAAAATTAAAATCTCGTTCTTATTCATCATTGCAAGCATTTCCTAATTATTTGATACTACCATAAATCTTGGCTTAAAATCAATGTTTAATTTTTTTTCTTCATAAAAATTATTTAAATTATATTATTTAAGTTGTGAATTATCATGAACTAGAAAAACTTCTTTTACTTAAACATACATAATTTACTATACTTAACGAAAATTAGTTTCTAATTTAGGTAATTAATCAATCAATATATCAGACCAATTTGCATCCTTTATTTATGACTGGCTTCTCTAATAACCTCAAAATTTGAATTCCATAGTTTAAGTTTGAAATCATCTCCTCCAGTTAATAGTAGATTTTTTTTCGATAACCATTAAATAGTTTTAATATCTCCAGTATGAGCTAAATCTATTTTTTTTTATGAATCTATAATTTAATTCACAATAACTAAGCTACCATTCTTCATTCCTGCATAAATTTAATTTGTTTTTAAATCATAAGCAATTGATAATACAGTATTATTTGGACAAGCTATTTTCTTTAATACTTTGAATTATTATGAAACTCCCCAAATTTCTATAACATCTCCTGCACAAAAGAAATAGTCCCCAGCCACTAAAATATCACTTAATATTCTATTTTGTGTTTAAAGAGTTTTTGAAGTAAAATCAGAAAATTTCCACAAATTTAAACTCAAAGAAGATACTGTAAGAAAATATTTTGAATTCAAAGTTTTAATTATAGAAATAGGTTGATCAAAATAAATTGATTTTTATTCTGAACTACAATCAGGTTTAATTATTAATAATTCTCCTTTTTCAGTTCCTAATAACTTAATTAAACCATCAACACTAGCTCCTATCGATGTAATTTTATGATCTTTTAATTTATTTTCAGTAAAATTATAATATACTTTATCACTAGTATTAAAATTTTTGGATTCTAAAAGTAATTATCTACTTTCTGAACCAGAAATAATTCTTTTATTTACATCTGCATAATCATATAGTAAATAATATTCCTAAAGACTTTCTTACCATAATTGAACGATTGATTCCTTTGTTTATGTCAAAATTCGAAATTGATCATTATATTTTATAATTTTGATATTTAATGGCCAACTTCCAAAAAGATTAATTTCATCTTAAAATTTCTTTCGAGGAAAATCCCATAGATATATATATCCATCTAAACTTCCTGAACACAATAATTATGAATCATCAGATATGGCCAAAGAGAGTATAGTTTAATTGTGTTTGATAAGATTTTACCCTTCTTATAGTCCATTTTTAGTATTCCATATTTTTATCACCCTATCCACTGATCCTGAAATTATATATTTACCATCAAATGAAAATATAGCACAAGTTATTTCAGCTTAATGTCCTTTATTTACATCAATTTTAGAATCTGAATTTTCCAAATCCCATAATTATACCAATCCTTCTGCAAAACCTGTTAAAGCCAAAGTCGAATTATTAATATTGACTAAACATAATGAATTTACTTAAGGTATTAAAATAAAATTTGTTTAACTGATTTAAGATTATTATTAAATATTCCATAATCTTATTGTTTTATCAGAACATGATACTAATTGCTTCCCATCAGTTGAAAACTAAATTTGAGAAACATTATCCTTATGACCTATTAAACTAAAAGATGATTCTATTTGTGGAATTTT